TTTACTAATACGAAACAAACACACCTCAGCTTTTTAAAAATCTTCAACTAATGCTGGAAAAATGCCATTGTCAACTCCATCACTCAAAGCTAGAGTGCTTGCTCTGTTGCCCTCAAACCAAATTTATGTAAATGTTTATCCTGCCACGTTAGCTGATAAAGATAATTGCAATATTGGGAAAGTAGTACAAAGAGCAGATGTAGATTAGAATGGTTATTTATACACTATTTCATGGTCTGCTTATTTTCCAGTGTGATGTTAGTCTCTCAATTAATTCACATGTTCTCTCCACTGTTATCTCAGAACTGGCTAGTTCTTTGACCTTAGAGCACAGTTCCTTATAAAAATAACATTAAATACATTAAATGTGCAAATGAAATGTACAGAAGTACGTTGATATAAATCCATATGTTAAGTGATGTAACTGCACAATTTGACAAATTGATGTTTCATAATGGCTAAATATTCCATTAAATATTAATCTCTAGTCAATTTCCATAGTCCCTTTCCCACCTGACAGGCATTTGCATATAAAATTAATTTTCATACTTGATTATCCTGTGACTTTTTTGCTGTATTACTCTTACACTAAATAGGAATGTTTATTTGAGGAAGTGTAGCAAACCCCTTCAGCTACTATTCTTGATGTATTCACATTACTAACTAATAGCATTTAGGAAATGCATATTTTTTTTTTTCACATAATGTTAAGCAAATTCAGGTATCATTGAATGTAATAGAAATCTTAACATTAAAGCACATTTACTCAGTTTGAGTATTTTCACCTGAATCATGTTTTTTGTAGATTAAGATATAGTGGATAGAGATTGTGTGGCATTTATTGGAAAGATGGCTTTGTTGGGAATAGCAAAAAATAATTACTTTGAACTAAAAGTCAATAAATAACTTCAAGGATATAATTTTAGTAAAATACTTAATCTGATTTTGATACTGTAGTTCAAGCTTAAATTTATTCATATAATAAGTATGTTCCCGGCCAAGGATTGTGATTGTTTTATAAAACTGTGACTGACTAAATGTCTAAGTGTGGACAGTGACTCTCAGTCTTAAACCCTACAGTAGAAGGCGGCTCACAGGAGATGGGCAAGGGCAATGTGCCCACGAAGCTCACCAACTAGTGCAGGTGTGACTGACCACAGCTGTTGAAAAGCATCACACTCCCTCAACACAAACAGAACAGGAGGGTAGACTTTGTTCTAGGCAAACAGAGATCAACAGTTGAGTGGTTTAAATGTTTCTTCTCAAGTTCATGGGGAAAAAAAAGTCTCCCCAAGTTAGCCAGATGAGAAATTGGGTAAGGGAGAAGGAGTAAATACGTGGCTCAGTCCAGCATAGAGTACAAAAACTAAACAAGAATAATAATTTTGAAAAGAAAAATGGCCTTGAGCTGGTTTCAACACAGATTACTTCTAACTAATGGAGGATACCTAACGTCATGACTATTCTACAGAGACTGGTAATGGGAATCATATTGGTATTATTGTTGCACTGTGTACTGCAATCACTACATTTTGCTAAACATACTTGTCCTGTCTTTTCGTAATAATTTTTGGATCAAAAATTTCTCCATTGAGGTATGCACTCATCTTTCCACTGTATGCAGTGAATTTAGAGCTAGATTGCCATTCGAGACAAAAATTATGCAGTAATTGAATATGTGCCTTTATTGTAAGGAGAGCTTAGCTTAGGTAGGTGGTTTGTGACAGCTTCAAGGAAATGTTGGAAAACATATTTTGTATTCCTTGAGACAAAGTAACCACATTTCTATTTATGAAGAGATTTAATGGACAATATATTGGATGGAATCCTATTGTTATAAGAAGTTTCACAGGGATTCTGCAAAGATGCAGCTTATGCTGATTCTTTATATGCTTGTACCAGCAACAGGCATATTGTGCCAAGTCAGTACTGTGGCATTTCTTATCAGCAAGAAGATTTGTGCTTCCTCACATGGAGTTAGATCTCTGGCATTCCTGCTTAACCTTGTTCTGGAGTTAGGTCTACCTGCTGCCAGCTCAAGTCATTTCTCTGTCTTGAATTGCTGAGCAGTGACATTTTGTAAGTTGTATCTAGGTTTTAATTTATTTTTTCTTTTAAGTGTAGCTGTAGCATGGCTTATGCTTGAATGAATTGCTGCTTCAGCTCATCTCATGCTTTATGTGGGAAATCTGTGAGACACTGGTAGGATAGCCTTGGCCATCTGTGAGTTGCTCACTCTGCTGCTTCGCATTCCCCTTTCTCAACAGGATATGAGAGAAAATTGGATGAAAAAGACAGAGACTACTTACCAGTTAGCATTACAGACAAAACAGACTTGACTTTAAGAAAAAATGATTTAACTTATTGGCAATTAAGAGATGTCAAACGAAAAAACACGAAAGAAGATCCTTAATATAATAGAAATCTTTCTCAAAGATTAGAGATTGTCTGCACACTTTTATCAGTTGACCCACAATTTCAGCTATTGCTATTTGGTTTTTCAAATTCTCCATCCTGTTTTTTTGAGCATGTTTCCTCACCTGTTATTTTATTTAATACATCTTTCCTTACAAAAGAACATACCCTCCCCCCAACCTCCTTTTACCCAGGTCAACTTCACTCCTTTACCACTGACTCCTTAAGTGGTATACAGGAGATGGCAAGTGGTTACAGTCAGGACATAACAGAAAATGACATTTCCTTTGTCATTTCTTCCTCCTCACACTTTTTCCCCTTCTTCAGTGTGGGCCCTTTCCATAGGCTGCAGTCTTTTAGGATAAACTTTTGTAGCCTGTTCTTTTAGGGTGCATCCACTTCCTCCAGCATAGCATCTGCTTTTTTTCTTCTTGTTGTTGTTGGTTTTGTGTAGAGTTTTTAACCCTTTCTTAAATGTATTTTTGCAGAGATGGCAGCAGCTTCCTAGAAAAGTAATGTTCAGTCTGCCTTTTCGTAGGGTGATCTTTTGGCAGATCTAAAATGCACTTTTTTCAGCCAAAACACATAATCCAGAGGAATCACAGAATGGCCAGGGTTGGAAGGGACCTCAAGGATCATGAATCTCCAATCCTCTTGCCACATGCAGGGCCACCAACCTCCTCATTTAATGCTAGACCAGTCTGCCCAGGGAGTTCAAACCTGTTGAAAAATAATTTCCCATTTAATCTGGGAAAAGGAAATAGTTTTCATTATTTACTAAATCCTTACCTGTAAAAGCAAGAAACAAACAAACAAAAAACACAACCCAAAAAAGAACCAACATGCTGAGGAAGGGGAGCAAGAGGTCATCTTTGTCAGCTAAGCAGCACAACTATGGAGCACAACTGGAACACTGTGCTACAGTATTCTAAAAGATATCTTTCTGTTGAGCTGCTGCAATCTTTGGACTAGTGTCAAAGGAAAAGAGGGGTGTGGGAAAGACGTCTATCCTGCTTATGAGGCAAGTGCTATTTGTCCTCCAGGTAGACTGCTCCAATGTTCCCTGGATCCATAAGGAGACAAACTATGCGTGTGTAACCCTAGAGGATTTTCTTTGCTCTATCTTGTACAAGTATCTGATCTGAAGACAGTCTAGGCTTTTTGCCTCTCACCTGGACATTCTGATAAACTCTAATTTCCTAAATAATATATCTTGAATGATGTTTAGGTACCCAAGTTCCCTCATGAATTGAGGCTTCACCATTTTAAACGTGGGGTTATGGATCCACTGCTGTTCCTGCTAAAGGAGTTGTTGGAAATGCAAAAACATGTAAAAGAGATCTGTTCGTTTATTTTATATGGAATTTCTTATAGGCTGGTAGAAGTAGATTGCAGTAACTAAAGAGGCAGAAATAGGAATTACCATGTTCTGCACTGTGTATTGCAATGTACCATAGCAATATTCTTAAGTAAGGCAGTAATGGATTTTCACAGAATCACAGAATGGCCAGGGTTGAAAGAGACCTCAAGGATCATGAATCTCCAACCCCCTGCCACATGCAGGGCCACCAGCCTCCTCATTTAATACCAGACCAGGCTGCCCAGAGCCCCATCCAACCTGGCCTTGAACACCTCCAGGGATGGGGCATCCACAGCCTCTCTGGGCAGCTGTTCCCGCACCTCACCACTCGCTCTGTAAAGAACTTTCCCCTGACATCCAACCAAAACCTTCCCTCCCTCAACTTAAAACCATTTCCACTTGTCCTGCTGTTATTTACTCTTTCAAAGAGTTGATTCCCCTCCTGTTTGTAGGCTCCCTTTAGGTACTGAAAGGCTGCAATGCCCGCAGCCTTCTTTTCTCCAGGCTGAACAAGCCCAGCTCCCTCAGCCTGTCCTCATAGGGGAGGTGTCCAGCCCCCTGATCATCTTCTTTTGGACCTGTATCTGAAGCAACCAAGATCTGAAAAGTGCAAACTAACTTAAAGAAATTCTAATGATACTTCACAGTGCTGTATTCAGTGACCCAGCCTTCAAGCACCTAAGAAATGAAACATGAAACTGACACTGGGAATAGAAACCAAAAGCAGATGGAGTAGGCGATAACAACTCTTTAAAAGCAGCTGGTGGCTGGCGGTGCAGTGAGCGCTGAGTGGCAGCAGGTACAGTCCTGGCTGGGGCTTTGTTGTTGGAGGCTGTGGATGGGGTTGCATTTAGGGTTGGGGATAAGGTTACAGGGTTGAGGTTTGGCTTATAGTTAGTTTGGGGGCTTAGAATGGTGCTGGGGCTAGGATTGGAGTTTAATTTTGGGGCAGGGAGTGAGAGCTTGAGCTGGTGCTGAGTTTGCTTTGGAGTGTGGTTGGAGTTGGATTTAGGTCTGGATGAAATTTTTCAACAGCATGCTCAGGAGCACCATGGAGGTGGTAGAGGCAGGGTCTGAGCCAGCTGGTTTTGTCTGCCCACACCATGGCTCCAGACACTTCAGATGTAATCATGTGCACTATAGAAAAATGCTAGCGTAGTGAAATGTTGTCATCTTTTTCTTTTCTCTCTCTCTCTCTCTTTTTTTTTTTTTTTTGAAAGGAAATATGACAGTCCATACATCTTTTCAAAGAAAGCAGAACCATATCTATATATAAACATTTGACTTTACATTTTCAGATATAGAAAGGAAACTCATGAAGTAATGACTGACAATTTCTAGGTAAGTAACTATTTCAGCTATCAAAAATATGATTATTCTGAGAACAGTGTTCTCAGGCCTTTGATATGGCCTTTTCATTTTAAATAAGAAAACGATGAAAAGTATCAGGCTTACAGCTACCTTGACAAAGACTATGTATGCAGATGCACAAAAGGGGGCTGTGTAGCTGTATGTATATGAACGGCTTACATTTAATGAAAATTGGTGTTGAAGTTCAAAATTAAGTTGCATTAAGCACATCACTATAATTTAGCACAGTGCTAATGTTAGTTTAGAAGTAGATACCACTAAAATGGAGAAAAAATGTATTTGATTGTTTCTTACATTTATATACACATATATACATGTATATACACATACATACTAACAGATAGCCAATGGTAGTGTCTATATATATACACTAATATATAACATATGTATATGTTAGCATATATGTGTGTTCATATTTACATGTGTATGTATACTTGTATACACACACATTCATGTATATGCATATGTATGCACATATATACATACACATACACATGAATATATTTGTTTTCTAGGAATTTAAACTAAAACAAGGTAGAAATCAAGAAGAGAATTTCAGCTTAATTTTGCTCTGAGTTCATGAGAAAAATGGAGTTGTGATTTAATTTTTCACGAATCATTTACAAAAAAACTCAGAGACTAGAAATGAAATCAAAGGATGAAATAGTTTTTTAATGGTTTCAGGAAAGTGAATGACAAATATACTTAATGCCTATAAATAATGCATTGTTGAGTATCGCAACAAAAATTACTGCATGAGGCTATTAACTGGATGGAAACTAGAGAAAGAAAAGTTTGAAAGAACAAAACTGATGTGGCAGGGTGTATGCAAAGTTATCTCAAGCTGCTCTTTGTTCAGTTGTTCTTTAGCTCAGAGGAACAGAATACCATGACCTTGTAATGGAGAGTTATCCTAACTTGTATAGTTGTATGCTTATGTGAGACTTGATAATCTTATCACTGGAAAAAAGAAGAAAAAAAGGTAAAAGAAATGGGTTTGATAACAAACCATGATCGATACATCATGCAATGGAAATGTTGTTGGTCTACTTGAGAGTGGAGTAGCAAGTGCCATAGCTGTACATGGCATCCTTAAAGTCAATATAGCAATTTAGGATTCACCTCCACCAAGGATCCTCATATGGAAAGCTAAAAACAAATACGTAATCATCTTGCTCTTCTTTGGCAGACTTCAGCAGTGACAAAAGCTGATATTTTCCATATCCTTTATAAAAATATTTATTAATTTTAAAACAAAAACACGTCTCATAGGGATGATCATAAAATGCTTTCTGATTTTTCTTCAGATGTTCTTCCAATCTGATTGTGAAGTAGATAACTTAGTAGTACAAGCCACAGAGTTTACCATATTTCCTGAACGTTCTCTCTTGATTCTTTAGAATTTTCTTTTGTGGATACTAGAATCAAGATCTGTGATGGATTCTGCAGAAGATAATTTCAAGAAGGCTGCTCATGATTATTCAAATGAGAGTGCTGATAGTGATGATAATGATAGCGAGTGTGTGTATAGTGAGAAAATAAACTTCACTGCAACTGAGGAAGACAAAGAGAGTGAGAGTACGAGTGACAGTGATCAGGAGGATGCAACCGATCACAATGAAGAAGCAGCTATTGTTCAGATGCTTAAAGAAAAGGAAGACAGAGAAAAAGAAACTGAAGACCCGGATCATGGTGAAATTTATTGTATCTTGACCACTGATGAAGTGCTACAGCATGAATCACAAAATGAAGGCAAGGATTTCAGAGTTCTCCAGAATAAATTGGATTCCCAAAACCCTGGTAAGGAGCTGCTGCCATTTTAAACTCGGATCTGATTTTTTTCTTGCTATGTCCTACCTTTTGTCTCTTTTGCAATTAATTGGTGGGTTATGGTTCTATCAATAACCATATCTGTTTCTTTTAGAAATAAAACATCATGAAATTCTGATGAAACTGAAGCAAAACATTTGGCCATCTTTATCAAAATCATTGTAAGTACAGTGGAGTTCACTGAAAGAAATAGAGTTAAATGTAATAGAAAAAGTTTCTTTGAACTTTTTAGACGTCATGGTGTATTATTCCCTAGTGTTATTGTCACCTAAGTTTGTGAAAAACCTGGAGATCTAGGGCATGTTTAGGAATTAATACTTCTCCCAGCAACATGAAGGAAGATCCTTAATATAACAGAAATCTTTCTCAAAGATTAGAGATTGTCTGCATGCTTTGTGAGCTGACCCATAATTTCAACTATTGGTATTTTTTCAAATTCTCCATCCTGCTTTTTTGAGCATGTTTCATCATCTGTTGTTTTATTTAATACATTTTTCTTTACAAATTCTTCTGTATCGTATATATCTGCTGTGCCTCTTATGCATTTATACTCATGCATGATCTCTTGCATCTCCAGATTCCTTTCCCTGTTCAATGCTGAAAAGAATTAAGTGTAGCACAGTCCATATAAACAGTGAAATGCCTTCTCTGCTTCTGGAGCTGACATGTCAACGAGATTTGTATTAATTAAAGGCAGACCATTTAAATGCATGAGACATTTACATAGTTTTGTTCTTGCTCATTCTATCTGGTATCAGTCAGGGTCTACATCCATAGCCTTTTGATCCTGGTCAAAAAGACAAGCATTGTATCTTAGGTGTGGATAAGAGGCAGTATGTATCAGGCAATTTAAAGAACCTTGAAGAAAATAAGCACAATCTTACCATTAGAGTATGGCTGCTCCCATAATATGTAGTAGTATTTAATCTTACATATTACACTGTATATTACAGTAATACATAATAGACAAATATAGAAAAGGAGAACCTTTACTGGAAGGATTTGCTTGTTCATCTGGACCTGTGAAAGTTCTTTTGCCTATTTGGTCTGTCCCAGGGTAAAACAAAACAAAACAACAAAAAATGTAATATCCCTGGCATTTCACATGTACAGAGAGAACAGGAGAATGCAGTCGATTCTAGGGTGTATTCAAAACTACTGAGATAGTGCCTATTTGCACTACCATTGTCACAGTGAAGAGGATTTGTCCGGCTTGAGACTTATTAAGACAAATGTTATCAAATGTTAGCAATACGATGACCATCTTTATCCCACATCTCCCCCTTTTCTATTAATAGAAAAAGAAGTGTGGTTCAGAAACAATTCTAGAAGTAGCAAACTGAAATTAACGCACTGAACAAACGATGGGCTCTTTAGAATACAAACAATAGTCTATTGTTAATAGACTAATTGTTAACCAATTCCAGATGATTCCAGTTCTTACGATTTCTTGGTGAGGCAGCTTGACAAAGTGTGACTTGATGGTGAGTGTCCAAACCGCTGCTGGAAGTGCAGTGATCACGTTACAGCCGGTGCTGAGATTTTGACCAAAGTGCTTGTAAATTGGGGGGCCCTCTGCTGTCCACTGATTTAGAAAATTAAGAACGTAACATGCTTTAGCTATTCTTTCCTCATGGGTCATACCCGCACTCCCCCTTTTTTGTTTATTAGCAAACTGTTGCCACACTATAAAATAAAAGCACTAATTATATTAATAAAATAATCATTATAACTCAATCAAAGCCCCAACTAATGTTGCACTAAACATAAGAGTTATATAGAAGGTCAGGACTTTTTGAGTTGATATCTACACACTCACACAGGCATTTCTTTTAGACAATTCCATAAGTGGGAAATGAAAACTTTCCAAGCTAATGTATTATTACTTACTGACCCCTGAGAGACGGCAAACCACTGAAAGGAGAGAGAAGAAACAGAATTACAGAATCGCCAGTGTTGGAAGGGACCTCAAGGATCATGAATCTCCAACCCCCCTGCCACATGCAGGGCCACAAACGCCAATGTGGATGCGATAGGCAGTGCCAGCAGGGCGTCCCCTACTTCAAAGTGATTTTTTCCTTTCTTACCCATCGCAGATTCTCTCCTGCTTTTATTCTTCTCAGGGTCTGCAGGGTTTTTTTCCCACTTGTGCTCCACATCTGCATGGCCAGTGCATGGTACAGAGCCCAGGTGGAACACCTGCTCGCAAAACAGAACAAACCACTAAATTAGATCTCTCTACAAAACAGAATACAGAATTTTTTTACAGCTATAGTCTTATCCTGGGTCCTTCCAGGTCCTGAATTATTCTTGATGTAGCATAGAGTAAGAGGCACCCGTATCAGAAAATAAACCTCTTTACCCTGCTTCCAGGTAAAGAGCTGCTTTCAGTTCAGTGGGAGTGAAACTCTCCCTGAGCCCTTCCAGGCTCTCCTTTACGTCTTCCCTGAGGGAATCTCTGGGTCCTCAGGCCCTGTTCTAGTGCAGAAACAGTAAGAGCTGCTATTGTTCTTCCCAATTTCCTTACTTCTCTGCTATCTCTGTTTCCCAATAATTTTTTTCCAGATCCCTCACCTCTCTGCTCAGTAAAGACATCCCTGTTACACCTTGCTCAACTTTGCCTTCCTCAGCCTGTGTTTTTTCCAAACCCATTTCACTTTCACAAAGGACTTTTATTGTAGGTGCTCAGAGACTTTTATACCCACGCATCACAACAGTTTTCCTGCTGAACCAAGTCTGGTATCATGGAAGGGCTAGGTGCCTTGTGGATGCTTACCTCTGCCTCAATTTATTAGTGAGCTTTACCACTCATTAGCAATACAACGACCATCTTTATCCCGCACTGGGTGATATTTCTTTACAGAAGCAAACTTCTGTAGAAGCAAATGTGGGCAAGAGGTGCTGCATAAGTTGCAGAAGCTTCAGATACTACAAAAGAATTTAGAGTTGTAGAGGAGAGAGTTGCTTACACGATCAATAACTGAAAGGAACTCAAGCTCCTTGGAACTAGGCTTTGATCCAAGAAAAAATGGTTTTCCATGCGTTTATTTCATGCATTTAATTAAATAATTAATAATTAATGAAAATCTTTATTTTAAAAGTTATTATTAAGACAGTTTCTTCCATCCTGTAACCACAACTTGGGGTAACATCATATGCATTCATATACATACTATTTCCTTTTCTTTCAGGTTTGTCAGTCTGTTAAAAGACTTTGTTGAGTCTGAATTCTTTGTGATAGACGGGGATTCCTTACTTCTTGTGTTCTTAAATGAGGAAGTACAACATCTAACACTATTTTACCTAATTGAATGCTTTCTGCATGACTTCACTCAAAAAGGAGCAAAATACATTATTGTTTTCTTCAAGGTAATTTATGAGTCACATTATTTGTTTGTTGTTTATACCACTACAGTCTTTCAAAAGCAACTGTGATTATAATCAGTTTCAGGAAACATGAGTGTGTCAACAAATAAAAAGATAAGTGACATTCACCAGGAATAACATCAAGTTGTTTTTTTTTTTTCCATCTCTTGCTTTTATATGGAATTTGTTTTGATTTTTTCAGCAATATTTTAGAAATTAGTATTATAACTCATACCATTTTTCGCTATGCAACCTACCATTAAATCCTCCAAGAATGGCTGGTATGCCTATACTCATTGCCTTGTAGATGATTTTCACCATGATTTTCTTGCATCATGCAGAATTGGAAATCCATAAAGATTCATATGTCTGAAAATTAATTTTGATAGAATTTCCTAGACAAGACTAGAGCAAAATGACTAGCAATGTACAGAAGAACCTTAATGATGTGTCATACAAAAGAACATTATAACACTTCAGAAACTGTAAATAAAATTCAAATATATGCTTGCATAGTATTTATATGATCAGAATTTGAATGTGATTTACTGGAATGTACTGAATAATTTCATTGTTTTTGTTTTCCACAGGATGTAGAACAGATGTACTTCCAGAATCCTCAGTTTCTTTTCTTACGTACTGCATTAATAGAACATCTGAAGCACAACACATGCATCACCATTCACACAGAATTTTCCAATTGTTTTTCACCACAATGGGAGATTTTTCTGAAGAAATCCTATCCTTATTTCATCATCATATCTGACATAGGACTGACCTCTCTCCAAACCAACTATCTGACTATTTTTATTGCTCATTCATTGTCAAAGAAAATCAATGTTGTACATGCTTTTGGACAAGAATATGACACTCTTAGAGTTTATGGATATCATCTTCAGAATATGTGGAAACACAGAATCTTTTTTCAAAAGGTAAATTACAAACAACTTCGTTGTTGGTTTGCAAATAAGGATGCTAGGTCTACCTAACAGATTTAATAAAATATCTCATTATACATATTATATTTTATATATTAAAATCATAATGCGCTGATACATGGCTCATCTAATTATCCTGAAAGTCTTAATAGGAATATATTGTGATTGGCACAAATTCTTAAGTCTTAATTAACTTTTAATATATCAGAGAAGACTAGTGTTTACTTGAGAATTGTAATGTTTAAAGGTTTTATTTAGAGCAAGTATTTCTTGGATGATGAGGTTTTATGTACCTATGAATGTCTTCTGTCAATGTGGCTGAAATCCCTGATGCATTGTATCAGCTGACTTTTGCACATGATTTGCCTTCTGCACTTCTTAGTATGAAAAAGATCTGCAGTGTGCCTGTGAAGACATAGTCAGGTACAAAGAACCGTCCTTGTACCTGTATGGACCTTTCAGGCTCAGCTTGAGAAGCATACAAAATGAGGTAATTTGACCTATTTCACCCTCTTTCTGGTGGTGGTGTTTTTGTTTTTTTTTCTTCCCCCCTCAGGTTGACTGCCTTGCTCCATTCCTTTAACTAAAATTCTCTCCTATCTGAATGGGGGGCTCTCTTACTTATTCTGAAGTGATACCCTGAGGATGGGAAGGCTCTCTGTGCCCACTCTTCTTCACAGTGGCTTGAAGTTGTTTCTTCTTTTATGGTTCACTAAAGTAGGATACTTCAGCTGGAGTTTGATTGGGAGGATCCTGCCTGTGGGGTGTTTCTGCTGTGGCAACTACTTTTGTCTTGTAGAAGATGGGAACTAGCTCATTCTTTAAGCTAATCTTAGAATATTTTAACTTAAAAAAAGAAAAAGAAAAAAACATTCTTGTAGAATGATTATTGCTTTTAGTGCATAATATACCTTTGCCTTTTTCCTGACCATTTTATGACTCTGCTTCTGCTCCTGTTGAGAGCAACAGCAAGGCTTCCTTGAGCTTGAATGGGAATGGAACTGAGTTAAGCAAGCTGAATTTTCAGTTTAGAAAAAAAGTGTTGTTGCTTGCAGGCATCTTAAAGTCAGTAAGATGAACGCAGCTGCCTGCCTGCTGAGGCTATTTCATTTTATTGTAACTATTTTTTCCTGAGGCCAGATCCTGATACTCCAGGAGAAAGAAAGCACCAGGGCACAGGGAGGACAGGCAGCTGCTTTCTATATGCAGGAGGCTGCAGGAGATGCCCTAGAGGCCACAAGGTAGGGCCCTATAGCCAGGGCTTGTCCTCTGATCCCAGCTAGGAGCTGGGGCAGCTGCAGCCCTGTCTCTGCCTCTGGGGTCTGAAATGGCCATAGGTAAGGTTGGGGGAGACCTAGGGGCAGCAGGGAGTCCAGAGCCATTGATGTCCTCATGGAGATGACAAGAGGCTATTTTTACCAACAATTCTGCACACTTTTCCTCTGTAGTTTCCATATAGTTTTTCATGTAGTTTTTCATCTGTGATGGAACTCCGTAAAAGATGTCCACTTTGTTTTGGTAATTTGTGACTGCAGGTTTACCAGACCATCCTTCTGTTGAAAAAGCTGTGGCCTGAAGGATCTGACATTCGGCGTGTGATCTGTGTTCTTACTTGTGCAGTGGGATTAAAACTGTACAGTGACGTGCTGGAAAGTGCACATGCTTCCTTGGGAGCAAAACCAGAGCAATCAGAAAAAGTAAGAAGTTTCGAAATATCTTATCAGGGCTGTGACTGTAAACATGTTGCTAACAGGAGAGATGCCTTTTCCAGATGCCAGGAAGACACAGCCATCTGCTTCCTTCTGCTTGCAATGAGGAGGAGTATGGTTCAGACAACTAGTAGGGCCACAGCTTCTCCAAAGGAGCTTCATCTGTCTGTGGGTATTACTGTGCCCCATGCAACACTGGCTATTCCAGGGGAAAGTTATACCTTTAAGAGTGATTACTTCCATGGGATGTTTTACTGTAGAATGTTGTTGAGCTCATTGTTTACGTTATATCCGGTAGGCTTCACAGGAGAATATGCTTTTCCTCATATAAGCAAGGCATTTCAGGAGGAAGGTTTCCTTCTAGATCCAAAGAGTCATGTCATCACTTTTGTGACCATACTAGAAGCCTTGTTTATTAACAAAGAAGCAGTATATCTGTAGTATTGTGTGAGAGACATTTTCAGTGGACTAAAGGATACCTACATCAATATGGCTGAACTACTAGTGATAAGCACAGATGGATTATTGTGTTCAACTTTATTTTCCATCATCTCTTGACAGGAAAGAAGTAAACCACTATCTCCGGAAGAAGCCACTGACCTCTGTAGAATGCAGTGTCTTACAACAGTTTTTCTTCTTCATATGCCTCTTTCTCAGAGAGCTCAGATTAGGATCATGCAATCCCGCTGGACTAAACAAGTTTTACCCTTAATAAAAATGGTATGTACACAACTGTCTTACTTCTCCTGTCATCTGATGCATTTATAATTTTGGTTTTCAGTTTTCTTGGTAAGTTGTTTTAGTAGTCTGATAAAATCAGATTAATGTAACCACTAGAAAGAAATCTCATCTGGTTCAGGAGTCTTGTAAGTTACAAATCAGTGGGGCTAAGAGAGTGTTTGGGGTAATATCTCAGTTTAGTGACCAGTGAATAGGCATCTGCAGTTGGCTAGTGCTAGTGTTAGAATACTGGACTAGATGGACCCTTAGCCTGTATGGGAAGTTTTATGGCCAACCTTTGCATTATTGTGAAAGAGAGTGTGAAGGCAGTTGTCTAGAACTGTGCTACTGAATTGCTCCCTGATTACAGAGAAGTAACGTTAACAACATGTTGATTTGCGTGCCAGTAAAACCTGTAGTAATTAACTTTATTTCAGAGATGCTTAGATTCCTCCACATGAAATGGCATTCCACAATAGTTAACCGATGGCTCTATCTTAACAGCAACAGCTGTGTGCACATTTTGTTCTGAAACAGCTAAGTGATACGGATGATTGGAAACTGGATTTAACTTATCTGCCTGACTTAAATGATGATTCGCTGCTCAGAAATCTTGCACATTACTATGAGATCGAATACTCTGAAGGTATTTATCTTTGTTAAGCAGTTTTCTTTTGTCCATTTCTAACTTTATTAAGCTGCAGAATGTAAATGAAAATGCTTTTACAAGCATAGATCATAATTTTCTAATTATCTCTATGATAATGGATACATTTTATGGAACAATAGGGAAACATTTTTCATAGCCAAGTCTAAAAAATCACACGCAACTGTCTCAGTACAAGTCACTCAGAATGCCTTCCCCTGTTGTATCTTCAATGTACTTATTGAAAGGAAGCATAAGGGTTCTGGGTCACTGTTACTGGGTATTCTCCACTATTGTTCTAAAGCCAGTTTTGTATTCTGAAATTGTAGTGCACCATAGTCAGAATGGAGACTAGATTATATCCATACTGTCACAGTGATATCTGAAATATTTTTTATCTCGTGATGAGATTGGTTTGGACAAAATCTGATATTATCTTGTACATGGATGTATTTGGGAGCTGAAACTTTAAGAACATTATCATATGTTTTAAAAATAAAAAAAAAAGTTCAAAAAAACTGACAGAGCAAGAGGCTATGAAAAATGTTTTGTATCAAAGTTTCTGTCACAGTAATTCTGTTTACCTGACATCTTCTGTATCGTGTGCTGGCAGTCAGTTTGTCTGACAGTAAAAGAGAACTTTGTGTATCAAGTCATAAGATGTTCTGCATGAACCTCAATAAAGCAAAAGTAGAGGATTTTTTAAAGGAAACGTGAATTAGAAATATACGATTTCTACTAATTATTGAGCACTAAAAATAAAATTCTGAATTAAAGATCCTGCCCTGTATGAGGTGAAAAAAAGGTGTTTGGGAACTGTTGAGTCACGGCCTGAACCACTGATTGATCACCTGGGAGAGGACTGAGTCAGCCCTGGGAGCACAGGTGAAGGCAATTCAGCTGTGTGACCAGAAGGGGTGAAGCCGGGCTGCACCTCTCCCAGACCCCATTTAAGGGCTGACTGCCACTAGGAAGGATCTCTTTCTGGAGATCTTTCCTCTGTGGAGTCTTTCCTGAGAACCCAGATCTTTGGATACAGGTTGAGTGTTCCTTCCCTGTTTGTTTCTTTTCCTATTTTCACCACGTTCATCTTTCCAGCTGTAGCACCAACTGTAACAGAAGTTTAACTCTTCTTTAACTGTGGGATTCCATGAACAGCCTAAACCTGGATTTCTGTACAAAATACGTTTTCTTATACCCTGTCCTAATAAATAATGATGATATATGATATCCTGTTCTCATTTATTCCAATTTCCAAAGACTTGGATGGAATTGAACTCTGTGCCTGATGCTGCACAAGTAAATCAGGAAGACGAGTAGGTTCTGTTTAAGGAAACTACAGTTGTGAGTAATTTCTAATTTCTTTCCTCTTCCCTTCTTTCTTGTCTATTCATTTTTATTTTTTTCCCCTCCTGTTCAGGTTTAGAGTTCCAAAAGGAATTGGGGAAAGAAATGGATAAAGAATACAGGTTTTTATGGGACACCGTAACCAAACTGACTGTGAAGTATGATTTTGGAGATGCTTTCCCAATACGAAATACTTCTCAAGTATTTATTGATCATCAGCGGACACTGTTTAGAGGTACTGAAAAGTCCACAAATTAAACAGTTATAAACACAACCTTCATTATTATCACTGCAAGTTTTGGAAGTAGTGGTCTTATTTTATCCAGATCATTCTTGATGGATCTTCTTTCCTTTCATCTCACTAGCAAAACTGGCAGACTTTACCCTTATGGCTGAAATTCTGACTGCACAATAGACAAAACAAGTACTGTTACTGACTTCACAACTACTTAGTTTTAGTTCCAGTGTTTGCTAGCCTGAATCTGTTGCATGCATTGTAAAATGATATGACCCATGTAAGACATACAATAGTTAAAGGCATAATGATTGATCATAATTAAAAGAGCACAACTTATTATTCTGCATTAAAACTGACTTCCTTGTACATGTTAGTGTATGGTTATGCAGGTATTTGGCAAATGTGAGAGAAGAAAACTCAGTGAAATGAAGATTTGTCTTCCTAAGGCAGTGGAATGTCTAGTATCAGTAGTCACATTGCTGTCCTTGAAAGGTCTAGAAATATGACTTACCATTGTCTTAGGTTATACTATGACACTTTTTAGTAGCCTGTAGTTGGGAAGGTGTGTACTTGGTTCACAGGTAACTTGTATTTATGGAACTATGTATCTATTCAGAATATCTGGAAGAAGTAGGTAGATATTCTTGTCTGTTTTCTCACATTTCTGAAGAAACGCTTTTGTTACCCTTGGAAACTTTTGTGTACAACATGAAACTGTATAGATCTTAAAAAGGGACATTTTGCAAGAAATTCATTAGATGGGAGCGTAAATCCACATAGGTTTATGGATGTTTTTCCACTATGTTAAGTGGCTGTCACGTGGGCAAAGTGGTCTTTAGTGACCCACAACAATTTTCATCGTTACCTTTACACGTTAAGGCATCTTCTTGGACAGCATTTCTACTGCCTACTTCTGTAGTGATGCAGGAAAGTAGATGCCTGTGACGTGGGGTGGGTTGCAGCATTCAGGAAAGTAGTGTAGGAGTATAAAATAGATTATGAGCTACCAAATCAGAGGTAGTCATGTCTGCTTATTCCCCCTTCTTACTGTACTTGAGAAAGAAAAGAAACAGGAACTGGTGAACTGCTGCTTACTTCTATGTTTTGCTTCTTTGAATTTCATCATTTTTAATGCATCTGATGCAAATGATTTTCATCATTTTTAATGCATCTTGACAGAAATTTGAAGAGATGGTATGAAATTGTACATATTTTTAATCACTCTTCATTCTCTTTTTATTTTATAAAGTCTATGATGAAAAAATTCCTGATATAGGACTAATCCCATTGAAATCTGATCTCGTTGAAGAATATGCTGGTGATGTTTTGAAAGACCTACCTGTTTTAGAAAGGTACATATATGAATCTTCATTGTAATGTAGTAAGATTGTATGGGTTTGTTTCACACTCCCCTGCACTGTATATCCATACTATGCTTAATTTGTGCAAGTTCAGAAGTGCTTTTGCTGTGACTAGGGAAGATTTATGCGTTAGTGTAAATATTAACAGGAGGTTCAGAACAAGAATGAGTAAGAATCCGTTGTCTTATTTTCTCATCAGTTATTTTTTGTGTTAGTCTTTCAAGATTCTTATTCTACGTTCTTAAACACTTTCTTTCTAAACATGCAAATAGTATTTGAAAGGTCGAATCCTAAATTGCAAAGCTCAGATTGTTTTCAGGAACAGAAAAATGTGGAATAACAGTACTGCATAGAAGTAAAGGATAATCTCTCAACATTTGCCCTGTTGTGCTATTGATGAAGGTGGGTTGTGTACTGCACAATGATTATTTTTGGTCAGTTTGGGAAAACGGATGTATTTCTGTGAGTTATGTAGTTATGTTGCATTGTGATTTAACTGTATGAAAGTAAGTGGGGGGAAAAATGCAGTTTCAATTTGTTACCAAATCTTTCTGAAAACCTGAGACTATCTTGACAAACTGGAGTAGGATTAAGCCCTATTCTGGTTATCTGTCACTGTAAAATTCTTTAGATAAATATCTGGGTTTTTTTGTTTTGAACATTTCATTAGAGATGCCAGAAAACTATTTTATTTTCTGCACCATTTAATGTTTTAGTAATGATCCTGCAGTTACTTCACTTGCTAAATACAAAGAATTTGATGAGCTTCATCACTGGCATTCTGACAGACCACTGACTGACGAATATGAACGAGTACGATGCAGTGCAGATGGTAAGAAATGCTAATAAAACCCATTTGGTTGTCTGAGCTAGATAAGTACTTTGAGGAGTGTCAATGTTTTAAAGGAGGACTTTAAAAATAAGCTTAAAAACTCACTTCATAAAATATTTGCAGCCACGTAAGCATGTGCCAAAGTAGAACTACTGCAATAGCCGAATTATACTTAAACTGATGAATTTGTGCAGTATTTACATGCACTGTATGTTATGTATATTTTTTTATAGCTCTAAAGAGTATAATGGAGCATTCTTCAGGTGTTCATGATACGTTCCCTTGTACTTGCAGACTGCTTCTCGGAGAGAGAGAGAGAGAGATGAAACAAACTCTATGTACATCTGCAATTTAATGTTTAAATCTCTAGTTTGCATAATGCTTATTAAACAAATTCATATATGGGCAGAATGAACTTAAAAGATTGGCTATGCATGTGCATTGAAAACACATCTTTTGAGAACATACATGAAAGATGAAGAAAGCAAAAGTTATTTGTATCTTTAATAATTAATTTTACATATTACAGCTTCTTTTAAGTTTTTGCACTTTCTGATAGGACAGGTTTTTTTCATTCTTATTTACACTGTGGTTCCAACAAGAAATTTGGAGAGCAGTCACTTTGAGCATAACCTGCAGAAGAGTAGCTAGAGCATCCTCCATGATGTTGGAGCTGAAAGTTTGTCTGCTACTGCTGAAGTCCTTTCTCTTCCACGTTTTGTATGAGTTCTCTGAACACAGGCTTGTATCATCTCAGTCTTGTGTAAAAACAGATCTTCTGAGATGGATTGTCACACTCAGAACCTAACTTTTTTTTTTTTAAGGCACAGAGAAATATCTTGTGCAGTACTACAGGCTTGGGAGTGGCTGGAAAGCTGTGCAAAGGAAAACTATGTAAGGATATTAGTTAACAGCTGGTTGAACACAAACCAGCAGTGTGCCCAGGTGGCCAAGAAGGACAATAGCATCCTGGCTTGTATCAGAAATGGCGTAGTTAACAGGAGCAGGGAGGTGATCATGAAATACTTGAAGGGGGCCTACAAGAAAGCTGGAGAGGGGCTTTTCATGAGGGCAGGTAGCAACAGGATGAGGGGAATTGTCTTCAAATGGGAATAGGGAGATTGAGACTGGATATTAGGAAGAAATTCTTTACTGTGAGGGTGGTGAGACACTGGAACAGATTGCCCACAGAGGCTGTGGATGCCCCCTCCCAGGAAGCATTCAAGGCCAGGCTGCATGGGGCTTTGGGCAACCTGGTCTAGTGGGAGATATATATATAACAACCCCCATAGCAGGGGTTGGAACTAGAAGATCTTAAAGGTCCCTTCTGACCCAAACCATCCTATGATTCTATGACTTGAGTGCAGAAATATCTATGTGCACAATAGAGTAGCAAAAGTTTTCTTCCAGCAGCATTATTTATGTTCTGATGAGAGTCTTGCTTTCACAGAGGTCTTTGATTATTTAACTGCCTTTTGAGAAGGTGTCTTCATTTTCCTTGACTGTGTTGCTCTAACAGTCAATTTGTTTCCTGCTCATTGAGTTTTCCAATAATTCTTGATGTCTGCCTGAAGTCTCAATTTGAGTCTATGACTTACCTCTCAGGTAATTGAAAGTACCATTCTGTGAGTCTTAGTAGCAAGCCTCTTTTGATACATGATTTGGTCTTTTAGCCGATGAAGAATTTTTGCTATCTGTACATGTGCAAACTCATTACTCGGTTATCTTTTCTTGGAAGTAGTTTAGACTAAAATTCTGTTTGTGTATTTTTGATTCAATTATACTTATTTGCAGCAAAGTCCAAAGATGCAGATGAAAGAAGACAAATTCAAAAGCTTCAGACTTTTCATCGTTTATATGGAGGCACTTTGGAAGGTGGCACTTCAAAGTTTATTGTATGCCAAAAGGATGCTCCAGGAAATGCTGATGGTGCTGTGAAAACGTCTAAAATACGTGTGAGTATAGGCAAATTGTTCTTTCCAAATCTAGTTTATATTATCCCCCCCCCGCCAAAAAAAAAAAAAGCATTTCTACTATTTGAATCTCAGAAATGAAATATACCTGAAGTGCATAACAGTTCTCAGTTGGGGAAAATTAATTATTTTGTATTATAAATTGAATTGTCTAATTAAAAAAAAATATTTTTGTTTCTGCTTGGGAATATTGGCAATTATATTTTAAAAATAAAGAACAGTAATAAATAGCAAGTTTGTAAAGGCTGGTGGTTTTTGCCTCTTGGCTGGTAATAGAATGTGGAATGAAAGAAACTGGAGTTCATCAATTTTATTTTACTTTAAGAAAGTACTGAGCAATACTGTAAAATCCATTGTTTGGTTATTTGTTTTCCCACATTGTTTGGAAATACTCACCATGAAAGGTTCTGTAAATTTTGCTATTAATTCTACTTAAGAATATTTTTTAGACATCACGGGGTGGTACTTTCACACTGATGAACAGGAGTAATAGGAATTTAAATAATATTTCATAATAGGCTGTAAGGATTAGATTAGATCACCTGTTGAATCACCTGTAAACCAGTATAGAATGATTTTGTTTGAGTAAGATGGAACTCTTAATTTTATGTAATGCATTTAAAAAAATCTTGTTACTAGAATTACTATTACCTATGAGTAAAAAACAAACAAACAAACAAAAAAAACCCTCAGGTATCTGCTATTTATTTTTTTCCATGTTTGTGTGCTTTTATACTATTTGTGATGAAACTTTTTATTGATTTCTAAAGTAAAGATTAGGTAAGCTTTTGAGCAGCATGCTGTGATTCAGAAATAGTCTCCTTCAGAATTGAGTAATTTAAAGAAATCTCAAATGATGATGTACCACAAAGGTGAATTGCAAACTGTAATATATCTTGATTTTGTGGATTAGTTTTTTCAGATGATGCTTGCACATAATTGTGATTAATTTTGAAATTTTATTGGATAGAAAAGCAAAGCAGAAATAATTATGGAAGAAAACAACAGGCGACTAAAAGCTAAAGAAGAAAAGAAAGAACAGGAGCAATGGAAAACCTTGCAGATATCAATGGAAAAAGAAATAAAAGCAAATCCAACCGTTGGAATAAATAAATTGGAAAAGTTTCTCAAGACAGCTAGAAGTAAATCTGTGAAATTCAGCGTAGAAATGTCAGGATTGTCGGCCTGTGTAGAAGCATGGAAAAAACACTGCAGAAAACAAGGTATGATAACCAAATGAATGTTCAATTTTCAGTTTGCACTCACATCAACTAAAAGTGAGTACATCTGGACCTTCTCAGAAGGAATAAAGGCATGTAAATACAAACTTGTCCTGGGAGCAGTTGTGGTGCTTTTAAGTATTAGCAGGCATTAATCCCCATCTGCAATTTCAAAATCCCTCAAAGGAGACGCAAGGAATCTATTGAAATTATATTTCAGCTATTTTTCTGTTTTTCCTTGTAAACATTGTATACATAATTTATTGTATGTATCTTTAATGAGCATGAGTTATGCACATTCACTATGACTATATTGAGATAAATTATTAAGAAGCTGAGTAAACTCACAATCTGAATAATGCTGATTATCACTGAAATCTATGCTACTGTCATTTGCTGTTCTCAGTTTCACTAGAATCAACTTATCCGGCCTATCCTTCTGGTTGAGAAGATTCAGTCACACTGCTTGAAATATGGGCAACCTGTAAACATTAGAGTGAAATATGTAGTTAATAGTACTGAGTAACAAACCTGAGTCAATGAAGTAAAATGGGGAGCTTCTGTTATCAAATACATACAAGAAGTACAACTTCCTTTAATAGCTGAGTTGTTTGGATGCTTGGTGTTCAGTGACAGAGGTTGCCACGTGTGAGTTATGTTCTGGTTGTCTCTAATTTAAATGCATTTTTAAGCTGCCATAAACATGGCTGGATGGATAAGGTCTGTTCTAGAAATACCTAATATAAGAAGGCTCCCAATGATACAATTGGCTGTCAAGTAACTGAAGCTTTTTTTTTTTTTTTTTTGAAAGGAAACAAACCTGAAGATTTAAGCAGTGCTGTCCAAGTTATGAGGAGAATTCATATACTCCTTGACAAATATCAAGATCTTTTGGAGAAATCACATTTACAGAAGCTGAGTCAGTATCTACAACTTCTTGGATTTGAGAATTTGGCATGTACTCTGTCTGGCCAGGTAACTTTCTAGTCTTCGTAGAGCTTCATGTGATTTTCTAACCTGCTGATGCAGGTCTGAAGATGGGTAACAAGGCTGGTGGAGGGCTTGGAGAATATGTCCTGTGAGGAGCAGCTGAAGGAACTGGGTCTGTTTAAGGAAGAGGAGGCTGAGGGGGTGACCTTATTTATGTTTTAATGTATGGTATACACATTTTATTTAAAAATATAAAGCTTTACAAAATTTAGAATAAGTCAGTCTTTATATTAGGTTTCTTTTTCCAGCTTGGATTCTTTGTACAGAGTCACAGCAGGCTCAAGAAATGACAAAGAAGTATAGGATGAGAAGTATATACCTCGTAGTAGCTCAAGGAAGCCAAGCTCTGCCTGCTACATGGTTTTGTTAGCTCATCTCACAACAATGGCTGCTGAAGACATTAATTTCAAAAATGTAGCCTCCAGATATAACTCTGACACCAGGCTACAACAGACAAAGCTGTTTAAAAATTGCCTACAATTTCATATAATTTTTCAAAGCTTTCAGAGTTCCCCAGAGGGGAAAAAACATAACATTTTCTGAATCTTTTGCTAGTTTTCAAACCAACTTGAAATTTAATATGACCTTATAGATGAGAAAAGGAAGAGATGATCAGAATAGAAGCAACTATGATGTTGAGGTGGGACCAGCTCGCTTCCAGCTGCAATACATGGACTATTACTTGCTCAGAGAAGAGAGGAATGATCCAGATCCCCGAGTGCAACACTTCATACCAGACACATGGCAGGTACTGAGGCAAATCCATCTGTACATAGAGTTATGGAAGTGACCTTTTTTCATTTAAAAATATACATTATTATACTACTTGTTAAAAGTAGTGTTTCACCAAGTTTAACAAAGACAGTAAATTACTTCAGAAATGTTCTTTTTGCACTGATGGCTTTGCAATTAAGAGCTTAGCTGAAGGCATTGGACGTAAGAAATGCCAGGTCCATGAGATTCTGCTTGAATATCTGATGATTAGTTCAAGCTATTGTTCTCCTTATTTGTCTGTAAGGAGCTGCTAATAGTATGAGATGAGAAATAACTTTTTCCTTAAAGAACAGCAAATCTAACTGAAGTCTTTTTATTATTAGGCTGGGGATGCCAGCTAAATTTGCCACTTTTTTGTGACACTGTCTACAAACAAGTCACTTGCTTGAGGAGCAGCTTGAAAGATGGCATATATATTGATAGAGAAAGATAATGTTAGTACTAATTTTTTTTTAGTACTCTTCCTTCCATCCTTTCTTACCTGTTGAGAAAGCATGGAGGAAGACAGTAGTAGAGAAGAAAACAAATTACTAAACAATGTATGTTAAGAGCATAGAGATTTTAATAGTACTGAGTAACATTTCAATGCAATAACAAATAGTGCTTTGTAAAAGAACAATGAAGTTTTTGAATCTAAATTATACACTGAGATAACCAGTTATATTTTGTTTAAAAATTTCCAGTTTTGGACTGCAAGTGTTGTGGTATCAGTATCTTAGAGCAAATAATTGAAACAAGGAAGTCAGAACTGCTAGTTCTGCTTTTTCTGCTAACAATCTGATGGGGGAAGAAAATAGTCGTACTACTAGATTGACTTTGACCTCCAGTAGTTCAAGATTGCTATTAGAAGAGCTGGTTTATTCAATGAGAACAAACAAGACATTTTGACATAAATTGCTACTCTTCTCTTAGCGAGAACTTCTTGATGCTGTAGATAATAACGAGTCTGCAGTGATTGTTGCTCCCACATCATCAGGAAAAACATATGCTTCATATTATTGCATGGAGAAAGTTCTGAAAACGAGTGATGAAGGAGTAGTTGTGTATGTTGCTCCCACAAAGGTAAGCCTACATCCTACTACATATTCTATATGTTGACTACATTTTTCAGTATGATTCTAAAACCACGGGGAGTAACTTATTACACTAATTTAGTTGATGTATGTCTTTTTTAATCAGATGTAATTAAGCATGTTAACAAAGAATCTTCAAAACATTTATGTTCGTGTATGATTTTGTATTTGTCAGTTGCTGTGTGTATATATATATCTATTTTAAGGTTATAAACACCAGTGTATATAAAAGGGCTTAGATGTAGAGTGTTAGGAAAATGGTGAGTTGTCAAAGCATACAAAAACTCTATGTGAAACGGAATAGAACAATGATCAAGCAAGTTATTTCATTCCAAATGAGATGACTTTTAGAGAACCTCAAGAAAAAGCTTGTGAAACTCTTGCCTGTTGTGGTACTTTTGTTTTAATGCAAATTCTATGCTGGTAGTTAGAAATTGACTTAGAAGCTGAGACAGTGTCTTGACTTCTTCCGAAACTTACTGTTGTTGTGTTGACTTAGTGCCTGTAGATGCAGCAGAATGTCATCTTTTCTTTAGCAGCTCTAAAAATCATTATGATACAGAATTAATACCATATAACTCACTTCATGGAACACTAAAGTTCTTTGCAAGCATGAGTATAACTGAACATAAAGAACTATATCTGTTTGAAGTTAATAATACACTACATAGTACATTATAATTTAGAACGTTATCATCAGTGCCCAAGCTAGATACTTTAATATCATGTGCCTCTTTAGTTTCATTAATGACTTGCTTTACTTAAGGCACTTGTAAACCAAGTGGTGGGATCTGTATACAGTCGATTCACCAAGAAACTTCCAGATGGACTGGTGGTGTGTGGAGTCTTCACACGAGATTATCGCCACGATGTCACGAATTCTCAGGTATATCTTTATGGGTGTTTTAACACAGAATAGTAATGACTTCTGCACTTCATCTGGCTCCTGAAAATATTAATTTTGATTGTAACAGTTGCACCATCACTAAATACAAAGCTCAGGAAAAATCTAAAGATGCTTGTACTGCTCACCAGAAACTTTCACTTTGGTGCACACAAATGTACCTATTCATCCATAGGGGCTATGCCATTGAAAAACCTCTGAATCCCTTGGTCACAAGCATACATCTGATGTAAATGCAGACAAATGAAGGAGGTGTTCTTTTTTTTCATTATTTTCATGATGGTGTGACTTTTCCTATTACTCATAAAATTGATGACAGACTGATTTTTAAGTGGGAGCGTGTCTTTTTTTTTTTCTCACAGTGGAAAGTTCAAACAGATCCTTCAATATTTTACTTTGTGCCCATTGCATTTTGTCCTGTTGATAGACACCATTGAAAAGAGCCCACTTCTTTTCTTTACATACTCTTTTTACATTTATATACATTGAGAAGGATAAGAGAAGATCTCGCCATTAAACAATATCCTCTTTCCTCACCTTCCAGCCCAGTTATTTCATCATAGAATTTTATCAGATTGGTCAAGCATGACTTCCTCTTGAAGGACAGTGAATGCATGCTGACTACTCCTAATGACTCCTTTGTCCTTCATGTGCCTGGAAATGGTTTCAAGGGTTAATAGCTCCATCATTTTCCCAGTGATCAAGGTGAAATTGACAGGCCTGGAGTCCTCTGCATCCTCCTCCTTGCCCTTCTAGAAGGCAGGAATGGAAGATTATTTGTTTTTTTGCTTACCTTTAAATCAATACCTAAATATTTTTAATTTTTTTTCCAATATGCAATCTATCCTGTTATATTTGATTAGCCAATTTACTTGAAAATAATACTTTACAAACCTTTGTTCCTAGATACTAGTGACCGTGCCTCAATGTTTAGAAATTTTGATGCTGTCTCCTCATCGCCAGAGTTGGACCAAACGAATACAATACGTTATATTTGATGAGGTATGTGTATTTCAATAGTCATCAATTATGAGAAGAAAAGAAAAAGCAGAGGAAAAAAGTCAACAATTGAATTTTTCATTACATACATGAAGCTGGCAAAAACCTTAGACTTATTACTTTAGACTTGCTTGCTTTTATTGTTAGACTTAATGTATTCCAGTGCAAGAACTAAATCCTGATAGTCTTCAAGAGGACACTTGGTTCAGTGAAAGTTAACAGGAGTTCCCCTTATTTCTCTCACTCCAGTCATTTGAAAAACTAAAGGTCATCACTGTAGCTTTAGAGTTGAAATTGGAATCTGGATGTACTGGAGGCTGGGATCATTCATTGTTCTTGTCAGATATTTGCCAATTTTCTGAGGACAAAAATGATGATTAATCTTGCTAAAATTAAAACTTGTACTGGATTCTTTCTTGTATATCAGATTAATTGCTAAAGATGTGAGTAAACACCTAGACTACATACTGTGAAAATAGTACTGAAATTTAGACTGTTTAACTATCCAGTGAGGTCTGGAGAGAGATTTATCCATTTCATTTGTATCTCACTGTCATTAGCTACAGTATAAGAAGTGTTCACTACTGTTCTTTCCAAAGTTCTTCTTTTTAGGGAAACTGTAGTGAAGCAACTCTTCTTAGGTTTACTTTGAGAAGGAACATTTTTTTTTTTTAATCCTTTCTCTTTTCCCAAAAATATAGATCCATTGTCTTGGTGGTGAAATTGGAGCAGAGGTTTGGGAGCATCTTCTGGTAACAATTCGGTGTCCATTTTTGGCTCTCTCTGCTACCATCAGTAATCCAGAACACCTGACTGAGTATGCTTGGAAATTTTTAATTCTCAAGAGCTTATTTAAATTGGACTTGAGCTGCCTTAAACAGATGTCAGTTACTATTGAGAGGCAACAGATTTGGAATTGTTTTTATTTATTGTATATAGTTGTATATAATTGACACCAAATTTTGTAACTCTTCATTCTCTGTAGTGAGAATAGGCATTCCTATTACTTAAGATCCTTTAAATGAGCTGGGAAGAAGAATTTAAGATACTTTTGAATCTATTTGATTTGCCAAAACCTAATAAGTATACTTGTCTATCATCAGTCAAGGAAGACACCGTCACTATATACATATGTGTGTGTATGTATATGATGGTGCTATTCCACATTTATGAACAGCACCCTGGGATAAGCTGGAGAAAATTCCTCTGAAATGGTGAAAGACTAGAAACTTCATAGGAGAAACAGAAGAATGTTGTAATTCCTCTATTATAGTTGTAAAATTTTTCTTCGAAATATTTTTAACAACTTTTTTTATTCTTGAAGGTGGTTACAATCTGTGAAAAGGTATTGGCAGTATGCTGATAATAAAATAAAAGAAAGCTCTACTGACCCTGAGAAGAATTTTGCAGGAAAATATAAAGGAAGATCTACAGTAAAAGAACAAAAAAAATCATACCGTGTTAGATTAGGTGTGTATTGGAATGTTATGTAACTAATAAATGAATGTAGTGTCCTTTCTGCAAACACTTTAATCACGCTGCATGAACATAATAATGTACATATGTGCTTATTTCAAATAAATGAGTATTGCAGTAGTAAGTACTTATTTTTAAAAACAAACAATTGTAACACTACATTTTTGTCTCTTCACAGTCCTGTATGAAGAAAGATACAATGATTTGGAGAAGTATGTGTGTTCTCTAGCGGGCAGTGATTTTGACATTGAACATTTTCACCCTTGTGCTGCATTAACAGTCAATCATGTAAGTATTGCTCTGATGACAAAATTGTTTCTCAAATGTTGCACTGAAACCAAGATTGCAAGCTGATTCTTCTTGCTTTTTTTTTTTTTATTAACGCCTTGCAGATTGAGAACTGTGGTATTCCTTCAGATCTTTCCCTGTCTCCAAGGGAGAGTGTTCAGCTATATGACACAATGGTAAAAGTCTGGCAGAAGTGGCCAAGGGCACAGGTGGGTCTAAAGAACTGCAGACACTACATAAAAGTAAGTAACTAGATAACAAAGTACTGCAGTGTCTTATAATGATGTTGTTTTCAAGGAGATGGATCCTGAAGAGTTTGTCTCTTTCAAGAATAAGGTAGTGATAAAAAAGATGGATGTGAGGAAATATGAACAGGAACTGAAGAAAGAGCTAAGCAACTGGATTGTAGTTGGACAAAGACAGAAGGTAACTGTTAGAGGAGTGCATTTTTAAGCTTATGTATAGATGTAATGTAATTATAATTATTTATCTTATAATAATAATAATTATGGGAGCTTCTACTTCCATAATTATTTTTTATTAGTACTAACTACTGTTGTGCTGAAAGAGAAGCACTAACATTAGTGGCATTTGATAAGCTTTTTCAAGGTTACGTTTTCACAAGTTTGTCAGGGAATCAGATGTCTGGTACTTACATGAAATTTGAAGTTCTGATTACTTAATGTACCTACTACAATTAGTGATAGTATTGTACCAGTATTCTGCTACTTTAGTCTGCCTCTTTTTCTTTTTTGCTACTCATTTGAAACCTTTTGTGAAAACTTTCCATGTAAGAGACAAGGCAATGGGCAAAACTTTGGCAGTCATATGTTGTTATATCATAAAAAGAAGTGTAAGGAGGCTTTGTATCAAAAATGAGTATAAAAGAAAGAACATCTGGAAAAAAAAACCAAACTTCTTGAGATTTGACACTTAAATGTGAAAATATAATTGTTGTGTTAGAAATACTTCATTCATCCACAGTGATGGTAGCCGAGGATTTGCGTTTTGAGTTCTTGCTGAAGTCAGTTAATGTTCTACAGGGCTTTTAAGTCCATGAACTATGAGGCAGTACTGCATGGTTTAAAATATCTGAGCTGATAGAAACTGCCTTCCAGGCAGAAGTTTCTGATATTAAAATATCATTAATAATAATGCTTTGGTCAGGTGAATGAGGTACTGGAGAACTTGAAGCCCAAACCTGTGGATTGCTCAGAATATCAAAAGTGGAAGATGTTTGCACACTTCGTTGACAAATTGCATGAAATGGGTAAATTGCCTGCCATATTTTTTATGTAAGTATTTACGTTCCATATATTGTGTTCATTGACTAGAGAAAAATGAGAAAAATTGGAAGATACCATGTATTTGGTTTTTGTTTTCTTTGGTTTAAAGCGCATGAAATAAAGACTTGCAAGATCTATCAGTCCATTTATCTTTATGTGGGACTTTCTATTTTTATCTCTTTATGGGACTAAAGACTTAGATGAATTAAAACTGTGGATTAATTACTATCTGGAAAGGTTAGAATCCGTGAGTGATATGAGGGGAAACTATAAGAAGCTGAATCACACTAAAATAAGAGTTGAATTCTCCATTGCTTTGCTCCAGTGTAGTAAGTAAAACTTGTGCTCCTAATTTAGAGTTGTGAGCAGTGTATGTAGGTGCAGACTAGATAGGGAAAAGGATGAAATGAGCTTCTATGAATGTATCTTTTGTTATGATCTCAGTGCAAAACCTCTATCAACACAGTCTTTTATCTAGTGAAATGGATCAATTAACCCATCTTGAGCACATCTGAGATGTAATTTCACAAAACATCAAATGTGCACAACCTACTGACACCGTTATCAGTGCTACTGAAAATATCAGTGAAATAGACATGTACCCTGATTAACATTAACACCGATCTTAATATTGAAAAGAAGCTACTTATCATTAAACAGTTATCCAGTGCAAACAAACAGTCACGTGTTTTCTTATCCCAGTATGAAGCCTTGCTCATCCTTATACTGGACACTTGAGTAGTTAGGGGGAGAATGCTAGCTGCCATTTCATTTCTTAAAAGTTTGTGCTGATTTAAAAAAAAAAAAAAAGCCTTTCTGAAAGAACACTAGAAAGGAAGAAGGAAGAAGTGAGCATACAGGCTGACAGAATTTCTAAACACTGGTAACTGCTGTTTTTTGTATTTTGAGTGACAGTCTAGTTGCAAATTAGTGTTATGTCTGATTTCAAGTTAAACCAGTAGATTTCAAAATTACTCTCAGATATTTGTAAATTCTTCGTATAAGGAGTGATTTCAGAGCTGCTTTATGAACTGCAGCATCATTTTGGGGCACTAGGAAGTTCCAAAGTGTTTCTTTTCAGCAGAGAAAGATAAGTGGCTTATTTTCATCTGCTTTGGAATGATGGGTCCTTTGAAATTTTTGGTGACTTATGGCTCTTATGAGGGACTGTGTGTAGAGTGTGAATCCTCTCTTTAATTAATAACTAATTATAACTAAATAATCACTGTGGGATGAAAACACCCTGCAGGCCAGTGAATGTGGAGGCATAACCTAGTGACATGAATTGGGATATGAAGTAGAGAAATCTATTATCTGATGCTGTTTTAAAGAGTCAGTGTAGTGTAACAGCACTTTGTGGACCTCCTCTGTGTTGTATTCTGACAAGGGACAAACATCAAACAGATTTTTAAAAAATTGTATCTTTTTATGTGTCCAAGTCCTGAGAATTCGTGAGGCAGATGAAGGGAATTTAGAGCCCTCAGAAATAGATGCTGCTTTGGAATAGTAGATTGGTATTTGTGCTTTATTGATCGTGATAAGCTTTTTCTTGAGCTGTTGATGAATTAGGTTGGAAAGTGATCACCCATTATGGTACTAAGTCAGCATGGAATTAATAGAGACTCCTGAAAGAGCAGGTATCAGAGCTGTAGAAGCCCAATTGCTATTGTGGCTTTTGATGGTAGGGAGAACAGTACTCGGAATTTTCTTCTATTAAAAACACCAGGGAAAGGAATATACTGGCACCACACTTTTACTTATGTGGCTGAATAAACTGAATTCAGTTCAGAGGAATCAAAACTAAATGGGAAATGATTGTTACTGAGCTCTGTCATCCATGAAAAAAGCTTATGCTAAGGAGTTAAGATTAAAATGTGTGTTTGGCCTTCACAAGTATAAAGTCCTTCAGTTTTTGCACTTGTTCTTGGTGACGGCTGAATTTAAATGACTTGTAAGTATTCTAATGGACTAGGATGCAACATCATGCCAGGTGTTTGTGAGCACTTTTTAGTGATAGTCAGCAGAATCTGCAGCAAGGATTTGATAAGTGCTTACTGAGGGTGAAGCTGGTACAGTCTTTATCCTAGTTAAGCTTCAATCAGCCCAGTGTTGAAAAGGCTATGAGGAAGAACAGCTAAGTAGAAGACCAGAAGAAGCAGACATTGATTTTTTTTTTTTCAACTGGTTAGTTGAGAAGGATTAAAATGATGTAAAGTACAGTCTGATTTATATGTATGTCTACATGTCCAACTTAAGAAAAGGGAGGATTGAGCATGCTTTCTACAAATAATTTAATGGCAGAATTATTTTATATATGACCACTCAGATTTGAAATAAATGCAGTTTGAAAGTAAATGTGAGCTATGATGTGGCTCTGGGCAGCCTGGTCCAGGGATGGGTGATCCTGCCCATGACAGGGGTGTTGAAACCAGATGATCTTTGAGGTCCTTTTCAACCCCGGCCACTCTCATTCTATGATTTGAAGATCAAATAGTAATGTGCTTCTAATTATTAGAATTAACTGCAGTTGTGTAAAAAGTCTTGCTGAGCATTATTGTAATAGCATTCATTACAAACACTTACAAATAAAGAGCTTTATTAGAGTTGTCTTAACTGATGTGTATTGCTTTAAGGTTTGGCTTAGATGTAGTGGAAAAGGCAGCCAGGAATGTCTTCCTGAATTTGCTGGAAAAACAAGACAATGAACGTGACCCTAAAATGGAGAGGGAAAAAGAAGATATAAAGAACAAATTAAGAAAAGTGAATAAAACAATAATGAAATGTGAGAATATGTAAGTATTAGAACTTAGTATACTATTATAAAGCTTACGCATTACAACAGAGTAAAAGTTTGCAGTAAGTTATTCCTGGGGAATGTACCTTACAGCTGCCAGTTGCAGTTGCTTTAGTAACCCACATGGTGGGTATTAAATAGCAGTACCTAGTGCATAGATGGGGAAAGGAAATACTAGTGTGGCTGACACTGGGTAAAGTGCTGGTGCTACTGCATGAGGATGAGAGAGAAACTTGAATATTCGAGGTCAGCCACTGTGGAATAATATATTCATAGCTTAATTTCACCATGTCTGGCTATAGTGGTGGATCTTTGAAGTGTGGGTACACCTGACTGAAATGTTCTTGAAAAATGTGACAGCATTTTGCTTTGATTATACCTTGTCTTTGCTTTAGCCCCCAACTTCCTTGTTTTCTGATCATAGGGTGTAAAGTCTGACCTTTGTAGTAATGAATTAAAACTTGAAAATCCAGTATCAGTTTAGACTCAATGGCTTGAAAGTCTGATTCTGGTTTCCTTCCCTTCAAATCCTTCCCCAGATCTCTACAGTCCATGTAATTATTTGCAGTAAATGGATCACATTTATTTTAAATGGTTTTTTTTTTTTTTTTTACTGTGCAATAGTGATAGCTTACTAATTTGCTGAGCAAGGTATTTGTAGTTGCTGTCTTCATATTTATTTTTTTTATATCACCATAATTCCTCCTTTCTCCTTCACCTAGAATTACTCGCTGTTTTGCATACCAGCCAGGTTAAAATGGAGATGTTAGCATTATAAGTAAATTTACATTGAGATCTACCTACATGTGTTCTCTTTTGAACTGTAGGCTCAAACATCTGAATCTTTAAGAACTCAAAGTATATATTCAAATATAAATGTTAAATAATCTTTTAAATTGTATATTTTATACAGTGATATCAAAAAGGCGAAACCAAGTAAAATAGAAAACATGGTGATGCTTTTGTCTATGAAAAAACAGCTAGAGGAAAGACTTAAAAAGCTAACTGCGATCCCTTCTATGTGTACTTATGCTGATCCTAAAGCAGTGGATGAAGATGTAAGTAATTAATAATTTGGGTTTTCTATGTTTAAAATGCTTGGATTTGTGCAAAAATCATAAAAAGAATATACTAAGTGATGCAATTGTTAGTGAGCATTGTTGTGAACAACTTCATGAAATATTCTGAATTTGATTCCAGGTCTCAACCTTAGGTAACTTTATTTTTAAGATGGCAGAATGAAAATTTCTCCATATAACTGTCTACTAATCACCACTGTGCCCACTGTACAATTTCCCTATGAGCTACCTGTACACTTTTCTTGAAAACCCTCAAGGATGGTGACTCTACTGCTTCCCCAGGAAGCTTCTTCCAATGCCTTATCAAATGCTTGGACTTCAATAGCTAAGAGATTTATTTTATTTCCATTGTCAACACTTGGTTATGATTAATGCTTAACACTTCTTTTTATTTGTAGACTTTGAGGAAGATTTTTTATCGACTTAGGTTTCAGAGAAAAGGTTATCTGCATGAAATGCTGGCACGGAGGGGCATTGGGTATCATCATGGATCTATGGCCATGAGGGAAAGACAAACAGTGGAGATGCTTTTCAGGCTGGGATATATCAAGGTTGGAAAATCAAGTTTAATATTTTTGTTGTTGTTGTTAAAGCTTCATTTCTCCATATATGTAAGTAAAAAGTATAGTGTATCATACATCAGTGGTTAAATACACTGCACTGACTAATGTTACAGATTTTTTTTAAAAAAATTTGATATTGCCATTTCTCATATGTAGTTGTATTTAATTTTTTACAGGTAGTCACAGCTACTTCAACTCTTGCTCTAGGGATCAACATGCCATGTAGGTCTGTGGTCTTTGCTGATGATTCTGTCTTTCTAGATGCACTAAATTACAGGCAGGTATGTGTATAGAACATGTGCTATTTATATTACAAGAATAGTAGATGTATAGAAATTCAGACAACGTCTTTTCTTTTACATGTACTTCTGGATATGTACTGAATTTTAGCTGTTTACCTTGGTGACAAAAATAATTTTAGCTACTGTGATTTTACTAATGTATCAGAACTGATGGCCCACAAATAACATGCATAGTAAAAAGACCTATTTCACTAATGAAAGCATTGCAATTGCTCTGTAAATTAGAGGCATAGATTTGTTTTTCATTTACAGGAGTCAGCACAAAAGTATTTTACTCTAGCCATTTCTTACAAATCTGAAATAAAAAAAAAAACAAAAAAAACCCCAAAAACATGCTATAAGAACACTCATTGGGGATATAGAGATGAAGATAAAGAGTACTGACTGAATTAATCGGGACCTTTGAGTTAATGCACTCTGCAAAAGCAGTAATGTATTTTCCTTCAGCTATTTGACAGTTTAGTTGATGGGCTTCAGACTCTTCATTAGGCCATTCCCTGCACTTCTGCTACTTTTAAAGCCTGTATTTTCATAAAGTACTTCTAATTTGCCTCTGGCTCAGGATCAAAGCACCAAATGCAGCTGAATGCATCAGCTGGCAGGTAACTCTCAAAGAGAGAGTGTATTGGACTCACAAGCATCTTCCTTCTGCTGTCCATAAATGATAGGACTCTGACTTTGTTACATCATCAGGTACAAGGGACAACTACTGGTATAGTGCTGGTACAATAGACTTGAGCAAGAAGGGATGAATGAAGCAAAAGAATTCACCCTTAGGTAGACTCCTTTTACTCCTTATTCATATTGTCTGCTCTACATTCATACTGAAGCTGCTTCTTTTTAATAATGTTATTTTAGTAACAGTACAAATATTATATTCTTAGATGTCAGGACGTGCTGGAAGACGGGGACAAGATATGATTGGAAATGTGTTCTTCTATGATATTCCATTGCCCAAGGTTGAAAGACTTATCAAATCCAACGTACCTCAATTGAAAGGCCAGTTTCCTCTGACTATTTCCTTAATACTGAGACTCATGCTGTTGGCTGCAAAGGCTGATGACAAAATGGATGCCAGAGCAAAGGTTTCACATTTTTCTTAACGTGAATTTAATCATATCTAAGTTAATTTAAGTTATATCTCCTTAACATGAGCAGAAAGTTATGCATTTCAAAAGTAAGCAGTCTCTCTTGAAAACAGATGTCATATTCTGCTATACTGCTTCTACTATCTGTGTCATCTTCTCTATAGCATTGCATTATTCATTTTCATTCATTTTCCTTGACAATTAACTTTATCATCAGAAGGAATACTATTAATGGGCATGCATTTTTACTGATTCTTGTTCTATACAATACTTGTACTTCACTGGAGAAGCAGAAAATCTTCCAATATTTTCAGATATGTTTGAGGAAAAGAGGTGAACATATTCTCTCCTAGGAAAGAGAGAGCTGTGAAATGGGACCTCAGTTGAAACAATGAGAAAATTGTGTGCATTACTCACTTGTTGAAACCAGCATAGTAGCATTCTGGAATCAAAAAGCTGGATCTTAAATTTGTTTGCTTAATACAATAAAGATGTTTCCTTGCATTTCTAATTTTTTGTTTTGTTTTCATTCAGGCATTGTCAGTGTTGAAGCACTCACTGATGTCATTCAAAAAAGAAAGATATGCTGGAATATTAAAAATTTATTTTATGTTTTCTGTGCAATTTCTTATCAAAGAGGTAGGTTTTAACTCATTCAGGATAATGCCTATGTGTAAGTACAGGCTTGTTTTTCTTAAATCTATGGGTTCTCATAATATTTTAAGAACTTCTGTTAGTACTCTTTCATTTAGGAGCCATGTATTTTAATTTCTGGGCTCTCTAGTTCAAGAATGACAGGAAACTACTGGAGAAAGTTCAGTGGAGGGCCACAAAGATGAATAGGGGCCAGGCGCATCTCCTTTATCAGGAGAGGCTGAGAGACTGGGGATTGTAGTCTGGAAATTAGAGGACTAAGAGGGATCATGCTTATCAATGCTTATAAATATCTCAAGTGTGGGAATCAAGAAGATGGGGACTCCCCTGATACTCCTATTGAATAGAAAAATCTGAAGTCAGTATACAGGAGACATAAACAACACTTCCAAAAAGTTAGAGTTAGCATAAAATCTGGTCAAAACCAGGACCAGGTACATAGTATACTGTCTGCAATACTTTTCCTAAGAGTGGAAAAAACCAACCAACCCCAACAACTGTAAAAGTATGGCTCTCTACCTATTCCTTGCTTCCTTACAGGGTGTGATGCCAGGAGGGGTGTCCCAGAACTTATAGCCTTTAATGGAGTTTTATTCCATGAGTTTGCCCAGTTTTTTTTAAATTGTATATACTTTTAGCACCTAAACATCCTGTGACAGTACTCTTGACAGATCACTGCTTGTTCTGCTTTCATCTCATCGGACATCTGGATTAATGTTTTTTGAATGATAGTTGCATCAAATATCACTTTTGTGACAGTATGCACATCTCATTTGTAACATGATCTACACTGGTACTAAAATGATGAAGTCAGTGTTTATGCTTTACATAGGTGATAATGTAATGCTTCCATAGAAATGCTCAAATGTTTGATACCTTGTTTGCCAGTAATGACAGAGTTTTGGCTTTAGATACAAACTGAATGTGTTGTTCAACATATGCATTGGGTTGAATGACTATATATATAATGCTACCATTTTGTATTTTTGCCAAATGGAAGATCACAACTAAACTTATTTTGCTCTTAAACAGGGCTACTTGGATCAAGAAGGTAACCCCATAGGTTTTGCTGGACTTGTGACACACTTACACTATCATGAGCCTTCAAATTTTGTGTTAGTGAGTTTTCTTGTGAAAGGTTTATTCCACAAACTGTGCCAGCCAATTAAGGAAGGTAAATAATACTTCATGCATCTTACAGAGTCTGTGGAAGGCACTGTAACCCCAAAGGTCCTGAGACTTTATGTGCCTCCTTGCTGCTCCTACCTTTTGCTTAGCTAGCTTTCATCCCCACACTGGCTTCTGCCTGTGCACGCTCTGCATGTGCTTTATTTCTGAGAAAAAAGAATGCTATACATTAGAAATGTTCACTTATTCTAGGAAAAAAATAATTCTGTCTCCAAAGCAAGTTTTTAATGTTACACAGAAAAGAACATGAATGATTTCTGGATATAAGCAAATTTTAAAAGGTAGTTAGTATCACTGTCTTGTTACGTGAGTAAAATCTGTTTTGTGCACTAAGATGCAGTATGTGTACACACTCTATCAATTTGTGGATATGATTGTTTAATTACCTAATGGAGTTTTTTTTGTTTATCAAGTGTGGTTTTGCTATAAACTCTTGGCTACTGCAACTGAGAGGGAAACTCCTGAATGGAAGTTATATTAAACAAATTTTGGGGGGGTAAGTTTTCATAATTATGAAACTGTGTGCTTTCTGTTTTGATATAGGCTCAACTGATTTCTCAGAAGAAGTCCTAGAGAAGCTAGTGCTTGTTCTAGCAAATCTGTTTGGGAGAAAATATCTTCCAGCCTGCTCAAAGGCATTTAAACACACGTTTTACCAGTCCAAGGTAAAGAAAGCATTGCTCTAACTTATGTTGTGTACTGCCTCTATGAATTTGTTTACATTTGTCAGACTAGTGTCAGTATGGATGTTCAGTAGCTTGAGCAGCTGTCTGCCTCCCTTGCACCCCCAACTGCTCCCTCATTACTCCTCTATGACAGGACAATAAGAAAATACGATTGAGAAGTTCATGAGCGAAGACCAGTTTACCCAGTTACAATTATGGGCAGAACAGCCTTAGCTTGTGGAAAATGAAATAATTTTATTGCCACTTAATACCCAAACCTGTTTTAAGAAAACAACAAAAAACCCACCAAAAACACCAACCTCCCTTTTTCTTACTTTGCTTTCCCAAATTCAACTTCACCCCTTTGTTCTTAACTACTCTACTTCCCCTGACCCAAGATGGACATGAGATGAAGGTTGAGGTCAGTTCCTAAGCATTCTCTCACTCCTTCCTCCTCACTTTTCATCTTAGCTCCATGGGTTATTTCTGTGAGCTGTGTTCCTCCTGGATAAATGTGCTCCACTGTGGGTACTCTGCAGGCCACAGTTCTTCCAAGAAATAAACAGCTCTGCTGCGGGCTCCTATGCAGGCTGCAGTGTGGGTATCAGCTCTGGCATGAACTTCTCCACAAGCTGGAGGGAAATACTTGCTCATCAATGTATCCATGGCCTGCACTGAAATACCTGCTTCACTGCTGTTTCTTCTACAGAGTGTAGAGAATCACCTGTTCTGGCATCTGGAGCCCCAGCTCCTCTCTATTTCCTCCCTGACCTTGGTCTTCAAACTGCTGTTTCTCATCTTTTACTTCGCTCCTCTGCCTGTGTGACACTTTTGCTTTTTGTGAATACCTTTAACAGTAGTTGCTGGGCTCATCTTTGTGAATGTGTCTGCTGCAGAGCTGGCTGGAACCACCTGAATCACAAGGTAATCCTGGCCTTTTCACAAAGTAGCCACCTCTGCTGGCACCTACTGCCAAAACTTTGACACCTATATCCAGTGCAAATCGCTAAAATAATGAAGAAAGTACTTACCAGACAGCATTACCAGGATGAGCATTATCTATGCATTAAGTAAACCCAACATAAGGGTTTCACAAAGTGAAACATCCTATTGCTGTCTCTTCCGTGCAAACTCAATTTTTAGAGGATACAGCTACAGCCTGAGAACAAAGAAAGCTTCTTCACAATTAAAGATAAGATACTCGTGTGTCCAGTTTCTAAAAAATATCAATTTCTGAAAAGTAGCTACTCATATAAAAGGGCTTACTGAATGGCAGCAAAGCACCAGCATTTGTCATGTTGGTAGGGAATCTGCTGAGCACTGACATATGCAAAACTAGATCTGGGTAGGTAGCCCTGCAGAAGTACCCTATTAGCTATCTAAGCATCATCATTTAATAAAGCTGAGTACTCTTCAGTAAAAATTCTAGGAATTGTATGCTTTTTATTTTCCATGTCTTTTTCTGCAGAAAATTGATGTTCATCTTAGGGAAAAACTCATGAATTTTAGATGGATAGTTTGTCTGACAGATCAGGTGGAGTTTGGAGTGCCAGTCTCTTTTCCATTAACACATACTGTCTGTACTAGTAATTGTGCCAAAGTAGAGGTGACAAATCTGGAGAAATTTCCTGAATTAAGGCATTAAGTGCATGCTATTTCAGGTCTTTCTAGAAGATCTGCCAGAAGACTTTGCAGATGCTGTAAATGAGTACAACACCAAAGTTGAGGAAAACTTTGCACATTTTCTTCTGACAACAGCCAAGCTGGCAGATATGGAAGAAGAATACAGACTTCCACTGTCAAAGACAGGTAGGAAATGAAAAATAAATGCATAATCATCATTGGTGAAACTATTAGGAAAGATAAATTATCATTTTGTAAAGAAAAAATGGTGAATTTAGATATGTTAATAAAGAGATGCACTTTCTGTTTTGCTTCTGTTGTACCCATTACAAAGTATATAGCAGAAATTTTGCACAGGAAAAAAATAACTTCAATTGCTATTGTTCTAGTAACTTATAGAAGAAATAAATATTTAAGGGAATTATTTTTAAAATGAGAACAACCACAACTTTATTTAAAGCCTTTTTATCCAATAATGAATGCTTTTGCAGATCCTGAAATGCTTGCAATATCTGAATGGCTTTCAGAGTTTAGTGTTAGACTGTCCATATCTGAACAGCCTTAAGATTGAAGGAACAATTAAAGATCACTGTATTGCGTGTTAAATAAGTTAATTAAGCCACTAAATGCTGTCCAGTGATCAAAAGATATGAAAAGCCATTATAAAAATTAGTTTATAAAATTAGCGTCCCCAGTTATTTTTGTAAGTACTACTTTTATCTAGGATGTGAGCCATAGAAACTGAATTTACTCCTCTAGCAACAAATTCTGTCTGATAATAATAATTAATTATTAAGAAACTTTTTATTTCTTTTATTTAAGAAAAATATAATTAATTAATAAGAAACTGATAAAGTTTCTTACTAAAATGAAAGATCTAACATTCAGGCATGGTTGCACTCTTCCTATTTTGCTGAAGCTGTTTCATTTTAAGAGAAAATAATAAAAACTGCATTAGATTTATTGAAAAACAAATGCAAGATTGAACTGTGTCCTGAAGTTCAAGAAGCAGAAGAAGCTTTTCTACTTAGTCAACTTTGGGGCAATGCTGCAAAGAAAATACAATGTGAAAGTGCTGCAATTATTTTGAATGGCAGAGAGTGTAACAAAAGCATACTCAGCATCACAAACAGCAGAAAAGGTTGCAGTTCAAGAATTAAAATTATTGTTAGCCATTTGGAAAGAATAAGTTTCTATTTAAGCTGTTTTTCTTCAACACTTGATGCAATAAAACCTGTAACTAGAAGAAACATTCTCTTAGGTTTTGCTGTTATTTCACGAGTCAAGGAGAAAGGTTAAGTCATCTGGAGGGGAGGAGAATTTTGATGTAGTTACCCTCATCATTAGAAAGCCTTTTCTTATGCACTGTGATCAATTGCTTAGAACCTCTTAAGAACAAAATAAACCAACACGATGAAGGATTTAAGCTTAGAAGATTAACCACAATTACTATCATTAGCGGATAAAACTGAAACTTTCTTATTTTAAAATTCATTGCTGGAATTGCCTGCATCTCTATTGTTGTGTTTGAAACTTCCCATCTAGATTTTACATCTGAAAAATGGCACGAGTCTGAACTAGCATCTTACTTGATGGACAACACCAAACGCGTATCTGCTGTCTCACCTTTTGCATGTTTATCTGGAGTGGTTGATGATGATCTATTTCACGGGGAGAACATTAATAAAGTAAGTTATTGTTTCATAAAGGGCAGAATTTGATTACCTTTTAATAACAATGTTTTATTACCATCTTCTTCCCTCTGTCCAGCATGGAGGCCTCAAGGATTTTTCTTTAGGAAAAACAAATTACAGACTCAAAGAAGAACCAGCACTGATTAGCACCAAATTATAACAATGCAAGAAACACAGAACACATGGGTCTAGGGAAAAAAAAAAAAAAAAGCAAACTGCTTTCTTAGAAGACCTCTGTTCTTTTGGCTGTTAAGTGAATTACTCAAAGATTATGGAAAGTTCAGCTTCAAACCATATTTCCAGGCTTTTTCTGCATTTTTTTAAATCAACTCAATCATGCAGTGGTTTCAAGAAGCTTAGTAAGGCATGCATTATTGCATTGACCACTTCCTTCTTTGTTTAGAGACTATATTAGATAACATAAAGTAGGTAAATTGTAATACAAATCAGTAGTTTGCTGTCAGCTTGCATTTTGCTGTGCCCTTCAACATGTCTTGTAGCATGAGGGAGTTATCACAGAATTCATGATTCTGATTAGAATAAGAAAAATCAAATTACTACAATTTGGATTTTGTAATTCACTTTCACTCTTAAAATGTGCCATGCGTAAGCCTGATATGCTTAAAATATCAGCAAGAGAGTCTGAATACATAGCATATACATATGGAAAAACCCCCAGCTAAAACTCAAGAGAACTTGCAGCCTAGATGATTTATTCATGGATCATCGCAAAGCACTGTAAGTGAATTTAGCAAAATATCTTCCATCTACAGCCTTTGTGTAATTGTGCAGGTATTTTGATTTGCACAGGAATAGAAATATGGAACACGTCAGCTGCAGGTCTGTAGTTGCTTCTACATCTGTGGCATAGAACATACAAAAAACCTAAGTTATTGAACAGGCTTTTTTTTTTTTTCAGGCTGTACTACGCTCCCTTGGAATTAATATCAAAAACTGCCCTCTGCTTTATTTGAGGAAGTATGATAATAAAGGAAGAAGCTTGCCACTCAACGCATATGCACTAGACTTCTATAGGCATGGCTCCTTGACTACTGTGGCAACTGATAACTGGTATGCATTGCCATCTTTAATATAGTAAAACAGTATCATTGTTTTCAATGTGGTATCAGTACATCTTTTTGTTTTTAAAGCCTTCTCTTTCTGGAATTTAGGAATGGAATATATGTTAAGTACTGTCAGAGTTGAACGTTACAATGAATACAAAACACAGATAACAGTAAATTCTAATGACAATGTCTGTAAAGCACCAATTGGGTTTTCAAAACAGTACCATAAATGCAAAGTCTTTACTTGAGTGATAGGTTATTGAGGTTACGCCAGTTTAATCAAACTATTTGATCAAAACCACAAACTCTGGTGTAGAGGAAGATCATCATTACAGAAGCCTGTCTTACTTTAGAAAAGCAAAACTTGCTAATAATTCAAAGTTAGTATTAATATTGCTTCAACACTTCCTCCTTTCTTAATCTTCTTTGAGCATTTGGCAACTTGCCCTTACAATTCATTGTTCTCTCATTTTGCCTTCATTCTCAAAGCCTATCAAGTTTTGTGAATACCTCCTCTTTTTGCTTCCTGAGACAACGGGGCAATATAAATTCCATGAACTGCTCTCTGTACAAGTTTGGCATGACTGTCACGTTATCAGAAGACAAGAAAATACGTTATTTTCAATACAATACTAATATGGTATTCGTAATGACTAGGTACTGAGATTTCTTAAGCTGCATTCCACCGAGTAGTGATCCCCTTTGTAAAGTATAGTATCTTAGATACCAGTAGAAAGCTACTCTTCTGTCTCCTACTCAACTTAGTCAGCAGTTTTATCTGAAGCAAATAGCCTTCCTGTTTAGCTTTGGACAACGTAGTTGTTCCGGAAACTGAAACCATGTTCCCAATATTAATAAATTTATTTTCCAGCCTTGAGTGATGAGTCATGACAGCTTAGTATGACTACAGAAGCACACATCTCCGTAGCACTATTATATGCTAAGCTTACAGTTACTCTACAGTAATCCCACTGAACTAGCACATCTGAATTCGAGGCCACACAATACATTCTTTGCATCTCAACTTACTTGGCAGGCTTTAACAAGGCAGTAGGATGATAACCATTTGAAATTTTTTCTTTTTCAGGTTAAATGAAGGAGATGCGTACTACCTCCTCAAGGATTTTATGCTCCTCATTCAGTCCATACGGTATGATGATCAACTTATGCTTTCAATATTTACTGTCTTAAAAAAAACACCAAAAAACTGAAGAGTGAAATAATGCTTTCTCTTTTTCTTTTTGTAAAAAATAGAACATCTCTGAGTGAACTGTGCGATGATCCGAATGATAATGTTCTACTGGCATTTCAAAAACTGGGAGAAGTCTACCAAAGTAAACTTAATGCAGTCTGAGTCTTTTGGTTACAATGGATGATTAAGAGTGTGTTAACTATGTGTGTGGGCTGGGGTGCAATGCACAAAAAACCTCCACAAAAAACCAACCAACAAAAATCAAAGAACCCAAACCTAGAAACCAGTACTACCATAATATTTTTACCATGTATACATTATCAACTATTTTTTAAATTAGAAAGTGACTGAATGTTCAGATGTATTTCATAAAGTTTTAGTAAAACTACAGAAAATTGAACTTACCATATTAATTTTTTAGTAATTTTAATGTCAATTAAATTATCGCTTTTAATATATTTCAAAAGTAGGTAATTGCACATTGTGGAAGCAGATTTTCTTTTCAAGCAGTGATTTATATTAAGATGGTTCTCAAATATATTGAACAAATGTAAGAATTCTGGGGAGCTAACCTCACTAGGTACAAGTAGGAAAGCACTGGCACCTTTCAGCTTATTTCTTTGGCAACGAAAATGAAATTAATTGTTCTAATTCATTTTACAAGGTTTTAATATGTAGTACCTTCACGAGCCTTTGCAGAAGCTCTTAACTCTGACTGCAGTTGTAGTCTACAAAACCTGAATTATAAAGAAGTTTGTATCAAAATGAAATTTAATAAAATGCTCAAACATGCCTCGTTTTTCACCTGTTGTACCCTTAAGAGTAAGAAAGATCAAAGGCACCATTAATATAGTACTTGACAAAGTTCTTTAGTCAACTTTTGTTGCGAAGTGTTTTTTATTTCTTTGCCTACTGGCGGTTTTTACAGGGGGGAGAAAACCCAAACTTTTTCATGTGTTAACAGTTCTTCAGTTTAACCACATATTTTTGTCTACCTGTAGTCCAAATATATAGCTGTGCATGTATATACATATACTCACTGTTTAGAGGGATAATTAGGCTTTGACAGCATCTCTGAAGGATAGAATGGTTTGGGTTGGAAGGGCCCTTTAATATCACCTAGTTCCAACCTCCTGCTTATAGGCACGGACACCTCCCTCTAGATCAGGTTGTTCATAGCCCCATCCAGCCTGGCCTTGAATACTTCCTGGATGGGGGCATCTAAAACCTCTACAACGACCAAGAAACTGATGGAAGTTATTCTCTATCAATAGTAAGTAAAACATATATGCTAAGAACAATGCAGAATCCTTTTTTGAATTAACTAGCTCTGGTGTTCGTAAGCTTAACGGTGATGAAGTTTTTGACTTGAAATCTCTCTAAACAACATTAAATTCTCAAGTACAATGTGTTGTGTGGGGGATATTGAGAGGAAGAAACTATGTAGGCAGACACTGCTGCTGAGCTACTATTAATTGACTGAAGTTTTCCTTCATTTTTTACAATCTGTGAAATAAAATTAGAATTAGAACAGGTCATAGAATTGAAGAGATATCTGTCACTATGTGGGGGAAAAAAAAAAAAATTCACTCAAAATTTATTCTCTACCATCTGGCACGTCATGCTCTACGTAGGTAAGTCTTGCACTGCCAGAGTAAAACTGACCTTATTTATATATTGCCATGTGCATGTTTCTTGATGGAGTAACCTTTACAGCTAGCATACAATTCACTGACCAAATAATAAAGTCAGAATAAACCATATTTGAGAAGGTAGCATGAATTATGGATGATAAAACAGATTTATGTATATCAAAGAATACTAATTTTATGCCGTAGACTGACTCATAAAGCGTTAGGCACAGCAGTCTATTTTTTACTTTCAATAGCATGTCAGAAACACCTCACTTCTTTAATGACTTTCACATAGAGAAATAGACTTTTTACAACAGTGAAAGACAAGTCTAAGTCTAGAAGTGATTAAAAGTGATAAAGTAACTAAGGAATCAACTTTTGAAAATATTAAAAAATGGGCTGTCTATTAATTTAATGCCCATCTGGGCTGTAATGACCTATTTTAGAAGGTCATTACAGAAGTACTGCCCTGTTTCACGTGAAAAAGCTACATGCTGACCTACAAACTGTCACTTAAGCAGACTACAATTTGCCATGCCTAAAAGGTTAGTTTCCAGACTGTACTGAAACTGTGCAGCAACAATTTCTCTGATTGAAAACAGTGCATCGCAGTCTGTTTATGTGCTTTACCATTTTACAACTACGTCCTTCCACTAAAAGGGAAAGCATCTAACTTAATTTTAATCAAACTCATGAAACACTGTAAATAGAAATTAACAGAAGATACAATGGAAGTATATAATTTTAAGACACTCAACAGGGTTTCTGAATATTCCTGTCATAGAGGATTTTTTTATGGTTGATGTAAAAAAAAAAAACAAAACACAACAACCCCACGTTTTCTGAAATACAATGTTCTAGCAACAAGTTTTCTAAGTGATTATATGTCTCTATTGTTCCTGTTTTCATTATAGAGAGATCCATTATAACTGCCATTATCAGCATATAATGGCCTTACCTTACAGGAATTTAACAATATCTTTTTAAACACTTCTCTCCTCTGCATTCTGAAAAAAACATACAAATGTTTTGAGATAAAAGTAGACCAACTCTCAGGAAAAAACAGCAAAAACAGAAAAAAACACTTAAGGGATGAATATAAAGAATGATAACACTAACAATTAAGAATTTTTGCCATCTTCCTTACTATAACACATACATCATAGGAAGATAAGGAAGTTCTAGAAACTATTTTTCAGCACATTTAATAGAGGAATTCACTAGCACCAAGATACTAGGACCAAAAATGTAGAAATAATAAAATTAGTTTAGAAAACATTAATTTAACTCTAAGTATTTCCCAGTTTCTGTCACAATAAGTAAATGGATATGCCTCACAGATTTAAATTTAAATGAAGTTAAAACATGAACTTGGAAACCTCTGGAAGAAAACAAACAAAAAACCCAACACAACAATTTAGATGCCACTGAAAAATTTCAAAAGGATATTCAATGTTTTGCTTCAGAATTTATGATACAATACTTGCCAGCTGACATATCCACATAATGTGGGATTTATGTCAGATCTGGCACCAGTTCTTGCTGGAAAGAAATGACCCAATTTTTACTCTATGTATCATGTTTCACAAAATTAAAAAAAATCAATGTGTTCTGGATAATTAATACTTACAGTTAGAAGTGCAATTTCCTTTTTTCCTGATGTTGCACAAAGTTTGAAGATTTTGTTTTAAAAGCTATATCCTCATAATAATCTCATCAAAACAGCAAGTTAGTATACTAGTTTTCAAACTGCTGCCAAAGGGAACTGGAAATTAAGTTACTTTTTGTAAATGTAGCATTTCAGAAGTGTAGCTCATCTACTTCCATGACTACCAAGAAAAGTGTTGTAGAATTTCAATTTCAAATGGATAAAATTATTGAAATTAAACTAGGAGTTGTACCTTCATATCCATTAAACACTGCATAGAAAAAGAATACAGTCAAAGGGAGATCAAAGAAGATTTTCAATAATGTCTTCTACAACCTTTATTTCCCCATGGCTCTTCCATGCTCAACAGAAGATACTGTCCATACTCTCCCATCCCATAAGCCTACTGCAAGTGCTACTATACTGAAATACCATTATATTTTTTCCTGCTACTGAGTCTTCAGTGAGCCTGCTCTTGGAGACATCTCAGTTTCCCTACTACTTACAATACCTAAATAGCACTTCCTGGAAATTCTGTTTCTGAAAGATACAGCACATGTGGTCATTTCTTAAGTCTTTAGGAAGACATGACATTTTTCATTGTTTTTCAGTTTGGATTTTTAGAAAAAAATTACTTTAGTATATTGTACTTGCTGATAAGCAGCTATGTTTCTAACACATACCTTAATAGGTAAGATTATCATAAAGAACAGCTATAAAATGACAGGTATTCCCACTGTTTAATATGTTATGCAGCGTTTATTTTATTCTATAATAAGTGTAGCTGTGTTCCATTTCACTCTCTTCATGTCTCCGATTTTCTTCTAGCAGACACTTCGTCTTCTGTAACAGTCAAATATTCTGATGCACTGCTGGTATCACTAGATACTGATGTTTGACTTAGCTTTTCAGTGTCAGAATCGCTGTCACTTGACATTTCTCTGGCCTCGTTTACTGCAAGTACAGAACCTGCTGAAGGCAAATCACTGCATGCTTCAGGAGCAGAACAAGCTGTATTCTGAAATGGCACAGACTCAAATTCTTCTTCCTTCCTGGGACAGGAATAGTTGCTTTCAGCAGTAGTTTTATTTTCCTGATGTTTTACCTTTATTTCTTGTTTTGTTGAAGTAATAGTAAGCTGAGTGGAAGATGCATTCCCATTGCTAACAGGAAGGACTGCTGAACATAAAGGCTGAGTACAAGAATAATTAATATTAGCAAGTATGTCTGTACTTCCAATGTTCTTAGATGAGTTCATACAAAGAGAAGAGCCTTCACATTTTCGATGACTGAGTCTAGAAGCAGGCTCTGCACACACTGGATACGCAGAATTTCCTAGATTTAGAGGTGTTTTGCCAAGAGACTTCATTTTTTCTTTTTCGGTTTTGTCAGTACCATTTCTAGACAAAAGCACAGAGGAGGAAGTCAGTGAATCAGAGGTATTTTTGACAATATCTTCACCAGCAATTTCATTTGGAAGTAACTGAAAACTGTTATTATTTTTGAAGGAAAATACACAACTGCTGGGGAGAAGGGAGGACTCAGAGATAACATTCACTCCAGCTGCAGTGATGGTTTCTGAAGTACCACAAGGTACAGTTGTGATGGACTTTGAGGCATTAGAGTTTTGTTCCCATGAGACAGATGGTTTCAGTGTACCATCTACAGTTTTCTTTAGAGATGTGTTTTTTCCCATGTGAGATAGTACATTTAGGTCAGATATCTTCTCAGACTGGTTAAAAAATGAACGTAATGACAAAGTCTTAAATGAATCGCTGACTTCCGATGCTGCTAAACATTCTCTTTCTGAATTGCCACTGGAAAAAGAATAAACTGGTTTCTGACTTCCTGCTGATTCTAAATTACAAGAGGTTGAAGCATCAGAAACTCTGGTTTTGGCTACAGAGCTACATTTTCTAAATTTGCTTTCGCACTGGTCTGCTTTCACACTATCTGCTTTATCTTCACAATCACATTTTCCTAGATAAAATTTAGGGAAAGAATATTTACTGTCTTTCAAGGAACATGTAGCTGCATCTTTATTAAATCTACGTATTGAGTTGCTACATGCACCATAAGCAGAAAAATCTAAATTTGAATTTGAAACAGTAACAGCTACTGATGCTGCTGGCTTTAAGCCCAATGAAACACTAGAATTTGTGTCCATTTCGTTGAATATTGTAACTGCTGATGACTGCATTGGCAAATTTTCTTTAATTTCTTGGTCTTTAGAGTTTTCAGGTAAGGCTGGAGTGGTTGCTTCCTCTGAACTTCTCTCATGAGCTAAGCTTAAGTCACCATTTGTTTCAGACAATTTAGTACTGGTAGATGGGATGCAATGATTACTAGTTCCAGGAAAGCTTGTCTTATCAATACCACTTTCTCTTGACAGGGTTTCCACTTTTATTCTATCCATGTTATTTGCTTTGATAGTTGAAGATACAACAGGAATTCCTGAGGACTTACTCTTCAAAGCCTCAGCAGCCACAAACTCATACTTTTTACTTGCAGGTAAAGTTTGTATCTTGACCTTATTAAGATTCTGATGTTCCATGTAGTATCTGTAACGCAGCTCCTAAAAGCACAGAAAAATATTCTGTTAATAAGCAAAGTGGAGTTGTGAGTGCAAAGGTTATAAAACTCTCTTGATCTAGAGGATTTTTAAAATATATTCTAAAGTATTTATGATTTATTTTTCCATAGCTGCTAATAGAACAAGTTTTTTATGGAAAAAAAATCCTTAAAAACAGTTGAACAAGATACACATGAAACCCTGATGACAAAGTAAGCATTAAAATAAAAAACCATGGGAAAAGTTATTTCAGGTGACTGCCAAATCCAGAAAGAGCTAAATACATTAGCTTAGATGTTGACAATTTCTTAAGAACTCATGAAAAACAACCTTCTAAAACCAATTTAGTATTTTACTGGATATAATTAACTATGCTAAATTATGTTTGCAAAAGAGACTAGAAAGTAGATGTTCTCCAAAATAATACAACAAAAGAAAAAAATTCATTTGCCATTATTATTATTCTCAGAACATCATGTGATTCACTACCAGCAACACTTCATTAACTGTAACGAGTTTCTTCCTGTACAGAACAATAGACACTGAGCCACCCACGTGTCACTGCTATTAAATGGGAAGAAATACAAAAATCTTTCTGAATAACTAGATCACTGGAAATTATGCTAAAGAGCGACTGGACTCAGCTTGATGTCCAAATATAAGGAATTTCTATTATCTTCAGAAAACAGAACACATGCAGATTATTTCCTCTTCAAACAAGGAACAGAAAAGATAACTTGTATCAAAAAGATAAAGGTGCACAGGAAAAGAGTTAGATAAAAAATACACAGATATAAATTAAAAACAACAAAACCAAAAGCAAAACACGTAAGACAGATAGTATACAAGTACAGGAAGAAAGTTGTGTCATAACAAACAGTAACTTATCCACACTTACAACAGATGCTCAATCATACCTCGTGACTCAAGTTTTGAAACACTGGCATTTCTGATATTGACATCAGGCGAGTACAGATCCTACCACTGTCTGTCAGCACTTCCTCATGTCCTGCTACTGGCTGAAAAACATTTTGCAGCAGACATTATATTTCTTTTTCAGTAAGAGAAAACAAATTACAGAGTTGTTGCCTCATAGTCAACAACTTACAAGAAATGAGTTGGGTATATTCTTCTGGTCCTGCCACTGTTTCATGATATTTTCTGTTGAGTTCTCATTTCCTCCAGCAGGTAGGTCTATCAGAAACAAACAAAAAAGAGATGGAGTGCATACAAAGCATGAGAAATAATGCTATCATTTTCAGTACAAAAAAACCCAAAAAAACAGTTACAACTGAAAACTATCTATTTTTATAAAGCAGCAAGAATACTGGTTTAATATGAAGTTTATGCCTTCAAAATAAATCAGTAGATATTTAAATCGAAAAGGAACAGACAGTGAAATATAGGCTGCAGGTAAAATCTGAAAGGCATTGGCACTTAATACTGGAATTGCATTAGAAAGGACATAGGCAAACAGAAAAACCTGAAGTTCAAGAATGCTGTGATAAGAGTCATACATAAATAAATATTTGATTCCTATTTTTATATACTGAAGGGTTCCTTTGTACCTAAACAGATTCAAATTAAGAACAGAATTATACTGTCATAATCAGAATCCTAGTATCTGGCTAAACTGTAGACACCTGTCCTGATAGGATAAGAGCACTTAGGTAACTTCTAAGTCAGCAACAATGGCTGCAATGGCTGCACAGTAAATTATAGTAATTATTCCTCCAGCTTCCAGAAATACAGAGTAGGAACTTTCTAGAGAAAGCACATCTGCAAAGTGTATTTAGAAGCAAGTCCTTGTTGAATTTATCTTTCATTAATTTGCTTATATGCTTTCTTAACTCTTGGATACTCCAGCCATACCAACTCTTTTTGAACAATCAATAAAACAAGTTGTGGATTACAAGAAGAAGTTCTGAATCTTGTTCTTTTAAGAAGTCCCTCTATCCTACCTTTATTTATGTCTACATCAAGTGGCACTAACTTCAAAGCCAAGATTTCATTAACCACAGGTTTGATATCCATTTTCTTCTGAGTGCTCTCTGGTGGCTTTTTATAGCTAGATGCTATATTCATCAGGTCAAGCTGAGTTTTCATTCTGGAAAAGTAAACAACAAACACACATCTGTTTCTTAAGGCTTATATGCCAACAAGAAGATTACAGCTGCTTAATAAAAATTAAAAAGTATTAAAAAAAAGAAATCAGTAAAAAGAAATTAGAAAATGTTAAATCTTCAGTAAAATGTAGTTTCCCACACTTTTTTAAACTTAAAACTTACTACTTGACAGATCATAGGAAATATGTTTAATACACAATGAAAATTGCAAAAAGTTGTACCTCCAGTTCAGCAAAAAGATTGGAAACTACTATTAAAGCATTATGCCTGAATCTAATTTATACTCATTCTTCAGAGGGTACTGCTAGCATGTGCTATAAGACATTCTAGAGAACTCCACTTCTAACACTCCTGCTTAAACTCTGATTAGAAAGCCATCGCATAATCAGTAGATGTAATTAAGAAGTTTTAGAAAGAAATATTCCAGGTATGTGCATAGCAAACAGAAAATGAAGCCACTGTGGAATCTCCAGACATTCTTAAAGAGCTATACAGGGTATCTAAGAACTCCAGAGACATTTCAGTGTTCTCAAGTTTAATTTAACACAAAAAATTCCTATACTTGGTTTTGGTCAGAGAGCCAATTCTCTGTAATCACAGACAATCCTTCACTGAACTTGACAGATTTCCTAAAATTCTGAACAATGAGCATCTAAAAGTCTAAAAAAACATTAATGTCTTATTTAATAAACATCTTCATTGTACAATGATGTATCTGACTGTATGCTAAGTAACTACCTTCTTACTTTTCAATCTTAAAATTATAGGAGAACTAACAAAACATGAAAAGAAATACATATACCTTGTATTCAAGCCACAGGCCACCTATAAATAAAACAAAAATTCATAAGACATAGATGTATTTGGAGAATTTTCCTCCAATTCACAAAAGAAGATTACTGCGTTATTAAAATAGCTCAGAGATTAAACTTCCTGCCTTCATTTCACAAGACCATAGGAAATAAAGCTGCTGACATAATTATTAGCATGAAATAAATAAATAAAAGAGCAGCCAAACATACAAAAAAGATATTTCTTGGACTGTGATTTATCCTTTAATATTATATTAAGGAAAAAAAAAATATTTCAGAGACAAATAAAAGCATTCAAGTAAAAAAAAAATACTGATTAAAGAATGACAGTTCTCCAATCATTTCAGACACTTGTAAATATTCTAATGAAAGACTATTTTGTAGTTCTTGGTGAGATGAACCTCTTAGAATACTATTATACCAAGATTTAAATACTCTGTATTTTGATTTTTCAGCAGTCAAGCTGTATTGCATGTCTGATGGCAGAACTATCAAAATAACTCCCTGTTGGCATGAAGGAGGATGACTTTCATAATATGCAAGGGTTAAACCAAAAGCTATAAAGTCAATATTAGTTTAATCACTTTTAAACGTAAAGAAAACAGCATCTACTGAATTCACTAAATATTGCTGATAATCTTTAAAGAAAGCTTTTCAAATGTTTCTAAAATGAAAAGTACTGTTATAAAGAAGCGAAGTGTCAAATAATTTTTGTCATTTGTTAAATTTACTTTTCCTGATCCAATCTTTATCACACCATGTAACGTATCAAGCACTACACAGTATTTGAACTCAGCTATACGACTGATACCAAGTGAGAAGAAAAAAAGAAAAAAAAAGACCATCACCTCCAGGAATTGCTGAGGATCACATTCATGAACTAGCTTCTCACAGTCGTTCAAAAGATTCTCAATGGTTTTCTTGTGAGTTTCTTTCATTTTCTTCCAAATCTGAAACTCTTTCTCTTTTTTACGTCTTTGATTTTCAAGATCTTCTGTCAATTGCTGTTTCTTCATTTCCAGAGTTTTGGAAATTTCTCCAAATGCCAGTGCAATGATCTCTGCTTCGTTATTCAGCACCATCTAGAAGCATGAAAACATAACAGCAGATGAAGGTGCAACAGCAACGACTACACAGAGCAATGCCTTTAAGTTCAGGATACATCTATGCCACACAAGGTACCAGCACGCTGTGTGCTGTGCTTATCCTATCACAAGAACCAAAGTGCTGTTATTAAGCTATTATACGAAACCATAAACTTACAAAACCAGCAGATGTAACTCACATCAGCATCATTTGCAGGACTGGAGATCTCATTCATCAGCTTCTCGTTTATGATTCTCATTTCTTTTAGACTGCTGAAGAAGTTCAACTGGAAGGCAACAGAAACACTTTATTATGGCTTCAACAACTCCGGAAGATAAACACGTTACAGCAGCTGTCTAGAACCACGTCACAGGGTGCAGCATGTAAACAAAAGCTTTCCTTTATACATATAGCCATTTACTGCTTTTTAATAACATTTTCTGCTTTGCAGGCGCTTTTGTTACGTACCCTCAAAGCGGTGTTCCCGGGCTCACCTGCTCCTCCTGGTACACGGTGTCGATCAGGTTGATGGAGTGGAAGACGCCCTGGTGCTCCTCAGACACGCACTGCCCGCACCCCGCCTGGCGGCACATCCGGCAGTACAGCTGCAGCAGCCGGCCCGGGTGTTTCTGACAGCTGCCCCCGGCCCTGGCCGCGTTCGAGCGGTACAGCCTGACCACCTCGGCCAGCGTGGTGTTGACGGGCAGAGCGGCCGCGCCGCCGCGGGGCAGCGGGCAGAGCTTCCTGCACAACGGGCACGACACTCGGGCCCCCGCCGCATCCTCGCCGTCCGCTCCCTGTCCCTGTCCCCCCCGCGCCCCGCGGAGCTGCCCGTGGCTCCGCTGCTGCAGCCGGGCGGCCTCCGCCGAGGCCAGGCACTCTAACACGCAGCCCCGGCAGAAGTTGTGCGAGCAGAGCGGCAGCGTCACCGGCTCCTCGAAAAGGGACAGGCAGACGGCGCACGTCAGGCTGGCCTCCATCTGCGACGAGCAGAAGAGAGACCGGGGCCGCGGCTCCATCTCCGCGGAGCCCGGATCTCCCCGCTGCCTGCAGCCCGGCTCCGCGGGCCCCGCCGCCATCCGGCCCGGGGGAAACGGCGACGGCCCCCAAATGCAACCGCCAACTTCCCAGGAAGTGGCACGGGGCGGAGGGGAGGCGGGGCACGGAGCCGATTGGAGGAGGCGGGAGATTGGCAGGCCCGCCGTCCAAACGGAGCGGGGCTTGGGCCGCTCGCGAGAGGCCATTTCCCTGTAGGAAATACCCAAATAATTTTCTAGGACGGTATCTCTGATAAAGCAGATTTTATTCGCAATTCTAATATCTCAAACTCACTGTTTTCCTTAACCTTGTTGCCAATTTGTTTGTTTGTTAATTTTTACAATTCCACTATTTGTACCCTCAATTACATTTCCATGTACCATTAACAAATGCACTTCCATACAGCATCGAGACAGTTTCTCCTACTGCCTTCAAAACCACAAATCAAACAATACAGTTCTTCAACTTCTACAAACACCCAGCACTTGGTCTCATGATTATGGTACTCAATTGTTAAAACTGGTCCCATTACTCATTTATGTTCTGGTTGGGTTTTTTGTTTTTTTTTGTTTTTTTGTTTTTTTTTCAATATTTCCCCCGGCTCACCAGCAATATTCCTCCAGTGAGCCTAAATACAACCCAGGGGGTCTTCTTGGTATCACTTTAGACACCCTCTGTTCCATAACAACCTCATACATGACATAACATAACGTAACATAACATGACATAACATAACACTTTCACGACATACACATTTAACAATCACAAAGACGGTGACAATAATCAGTACAGTTTATCCTCAGGATCCTTCCTCTCTCTGCCTCCCTCCGGGGTCCAAGCTTCCCTCTGTATTCATTTCCCACACTTGCATAGCTGCCCACCTCCTTCTCCAATAAACAACATATCAGTG